ATATATATATATATATATATATATATATATATATATATATAGCTGTTTTTTATTTAATATTGGTAGTAAGAGCATTTGTGAATATCATTATGAAATATTTATAATTTTTCATTTTTATTTTTTTTTTTATTTTTAAATTGAGATATAATGGACATACGACATTATATTACTTTCAGGTATACAATGCAATGATTCGGTAGTTGTATGGATTTTGAAATGACCATCAAAATAAGTCTAATTAACATCCATCACTGCATAATTACAAATTTTTTTAATTTGTTGCTAAATTCTTAGCTTTTAAATATACAGTACAGTATTATTAACTGTAGTGACCATGCTATACATTGCATCTCCATGATTTATTTAGAACTGGAAGTTTGTACATTTTGACCCCCTTCACCTCTCTAGGTCCTGCCCGATCCCTTATTGCCTAGCAGATGGTGAATAAACATCTAATAATGTTTCACCCTTTTCACCAACTTCCTGCCCCTCCCCTACTTCTGGCAATTGCCAATCTATTCTCTGTGTCTATGAGCTCAGTTTATTTTTTTTTTTAAGATTCCACATATAAGTGAGATCATACCGTATTTCCCTTTTTCTATTTGACTTATTTCATGAAGCATAATGCCTTCAAGTTTCATCCATGTTGTCGCAGAAGACAAAAATTCCTTCTCTTTTATGGTTGGATAGTATTCTATTATATATATAATACATATTCTTTATCAACTCCATCTATCAATGGACACTTCGTTGCTTCCATGTCATATTACTGTATATATTATTGTAAATAAAGTAAATGCAGTAAATTTACATTATTGTATCTAAATAATGCTTCAATGACCATGGGGATGCATTTCTGAATTCTTTTTTTGTGGGTTTTTTTTTTATTGTGTTATGTTAGTCTTATAGGTAGCTTCAGGCACATCACATTTTCTAAGTCCCTTTGGGAATGAAATCTTGCTAATAGCTGCCACTGGTGTAGTAAGAGGAAGCAGAAGGCAACAGTAGGAAGGCAGAAGACCAGGTTCCAATTGTAGAATAACAGGAATTTTCTTCCCATCATTCTAGCGTCCTCTGCCATTTCTCTACATTCCTTCTATTATCTTATTTTCTTCTTCTTTTCCTCTTTTGTGACTTCTTTCAAACTTGTGTTCTTTCTATGTTAATAGCCTATGTTTCACTTCTCTGCATAGTTAAGTGTGTATATATGCATGTGTATATATTGTATGTGCGCATACACCTTTACACATAGGTATGTATATTCGGTGGCCTTGCCAAGAAAATTAAAGTTTCCTTTTAATGACAGTATGATATTTCCTATAACTGGTATGTTATAGGTCCTAAGAATCTCATTGCAATATTTGCCTCTTATTTCCAGAGTTGCAAGCAGATGTTTATTAAATAAGGTTGATAATCTACTTTTAAAAATAGGATACAAAGGCAATCTGATTTTTCTATCTGTAAAATTTTTTTGCAGGTACTTTTAATTACAATTCCTGGCTTTGTGATGAATTATATATTAATTCTTTGGTATCTGGCATCTGTGGATAAATTACTTTTGAAAACCACACCATGGTTATTATTTTCAACGATCCTTGTGAGTTCAGATCCCATGCTGACGGCAGTTGCTATAAGAGACCTTGGTAGGTATATTTTTTCTTTTCCTACATTTAAAATATTATGTTCTGTGTTTAATGTATCTAGCTTTAAGATATTTTATTCAATGTAGATTTTCACTATGTGAAATAGGATTCTGAGACACTGGGGATTAAACATGGAGATTCAGTTTAGTGATCCTTAGAACAAAATGAAATGCCAGTAATGGATTTACTTAGTATATATATATATATATATATATTTCATCCAATTGTGGGATAAAATGGGATTATTTGTAATCCTTGACTTTATACATCCTTCTATCTTGAGCCAACATTTCCAGGAACAAACAATTTGCAGCACACTGTGGTAACATTTCTATTGCCTAATACCCCTGTTCCTTTGACAATACTGTCATTAGGATAATGTCATTTGTTTTTAAAAAAAAAAAAAATGCTTTTAGAGTCATCATCACCATTAGGACCAAAAAGCTTGAAAAGTCAAAAACAATAAAATCATTAATCCTACTGTGTTTTCAGTGTGTACTATTTTAGAAGAAATAAATCTATATTTAAAAATAAAATACCAAGTCAACATAACCCCCCCTACACACACACAAATCTAAGAACCTCATCCAAGAAAAACAATTACTGAATTTGTTTTCCTCCAGTCACTTTTTAGTAACAAGAATTACAACATTTGTTTTGAAATATAATTTACTTATTTATTTATTTAAGTTTTTATTTATTTATTTGACAGAGAGAAAGATCACAAGTAGGCAGAGAGGCAGGTAGAGAGAGAGGGGGAAGCAGGCTCCCTGCTGAGCAGAGGGCTCAATCTATTTCACCCCTGAAATAGAACTTAATATGGCATGTGTGCATGTGCACACACAAACATGCACACACAAACACATGCACACACACTTTTCATTTTATGATCAGTTACAGGGGAAAAAGCTGCTGGAGGCAAGTAGAAATAAAATAGAGGAGACACATCAATGTACCTCTACGAATAAAGGCAAGCCAACTCTTCAAAACAGAGATTAAGTTTGTGAAGTAAGACTCTGGGAAAAGGAAGTGTCAACATCTGTCACCCAATCCTGTCTCTATGGGGACTCTATCAGTGCCAGCCCTTTTTCTACTCAAAAGATTTGGCTGGGGTGCCTGGGTGGCTCAGTCCTTAAGCTTCTGTCTTCGGCTCACGTCATGATCCCAGAGTCCTGGGATTAAGCCCTGCATCAGGCTCCCTGCTCTGCGGGAAGCCTGCTTCTCCCTCTCCCACTACCCCTCTCTCACTGACTGGAGTCATGATCTCTCTCTCTCTCTATCTTCCTCTGCCCTTCTCCCTGCCCCTACATGCACGTGTTCTCTCTCTCTCTCTCTCTCTCATAAAGAAATAAATCTTTTAAAAAAATAAGTGATTTCTTTGGGTTAACTTGCAAAGTTATGCTCATACATTTTAGTCATCTTGCCATGACTTTTGGAATTTTGTATTTCTCTTCATTTTGTGTATTTTAAAAAAATAAGAATGAACAATAAAATATTTTTCTCTTGGTAACATTTTTTGCCTGAGTTTTCAAAGCCAAATTTTTATATTTGTTTTATTTTACTTTCATACACACACAACGTCTGCCCAGGCTTCTGAGTACTTGAGTATATTCACGTTGTCTTTTGACAGTCGGTTGACTCCTCTTAGGCCCCCATGTCAGTTGTTCATTTTCAAATATTTACATCTTGTTGTAGTTCATTTTCCAAATTGGAATAGTTATACGACAGTACCAGTTAGGTTTTTCTCAGTAGGGAATAACTCTGAGTTTCAACAATTGAGTAAGAAAAAGCACAGTGGCTTAAAAACAGCAGTTATTATTTCTCATGAGCCTACCAGTTATGAAGGCATGGCTGGGCTCTGCTGATCTTGGCTGGGCTTGCTAATGAACCTTCAGTCTGGTAGAGGGTCATTTGGGGGCTAAGTGATCTAGGATGGCCTCAACTGGGAAGATCCACCGTTCTTCTTCAAATCTCTCACAATCTTCCAGTAGTGCAGCCAGTGAACACTAGCATGATGGTGGCAGAGATGCAAGAGATAGGAAGCAAAAATGTGTCTTAAGCCTCTGTTTGCATCATGTCTCATAACAAAACAGGCTGGATATCTTAGGTGAGAGAGACTGCAATTTTACAGCAAAGGGCATGAATGTGTAAAGAGGTGAAGAACTGGACCATCAAGGCACTTGAGCTTCCACAGGAACAGAATGCCTTGACTTCTCTTCTCTTACAAAAGCATACTTACTGTGTTAGGTTGTGATCATAAAGTGGTTGGATGATGTAATAACATTTCCTTCCTCTGGACATCTAAAGAATCATTAAGATGCTCAAAGTTATATTTTTGCCACTACAAGCATATTTAATAGAGAAAAATGATAATTGATAGATATCTAAACTAGCTTCATAAATGGAGGGAAATTAGGATGGGAGTACCTCATATCCAGGTGCTCTCCATTTCATAGAGCTTGGTTTCTAAAATCTTCAAAAAGAATGTATAGGAAAGTCAGACAGTTTCTAATTATAGAAAGATTATCTTGACCATTGCCCTAATACTTTGTTTAGGTACCATGTTTTAAAATTTGGCTTATGAATTTCCTTTATCCCTCCATCATTGTTTTTTGCCTTAAATACATGATATTAGATAAGTCACCAAATTAAAAAAAAATAGTGAATTTCATGTTCTGATCTGGGCTTTAAAACAAGGAATGACAGCTTTAGCTGATCATCTTTCTTACATAAACTGCAGTCAACCACAATTAGTTTGGTTCCTAATTACAGAGTCCAGACTTACAGTTGATACATAATTAAATTTGTCCCAAGGGAGTTTTCAAGCATGACTAAGGTTTGTTTAAGTACATGGGCAAAGTATGTGGTATAAATCTATAGCTTAGAATATAGTCCTACTTGATAATAAAATTCTATTCTTTAATATTGATGATATTCCCACCTTAAACAAAATATTTTCTCTTCCATAGGTCTTTCTAGAAGCCTCATCAATTTAATTAATGGAGAAAGTCTGATGACCGCTATAATGTCTTTGATTGTGTTTACTAGTATCGAGGATATTAATGTAAGCCTGAAAACGAAGGTGAACCATTCTTTAGGTAAGGACTTATTTTTCTTCTAAATTTCTTAAAATCATAATCCTATATTTTCTAGAAGCTGATGTGGGTTTTATAATATAATAAGTTATGCTTGTACAAATATAATTGTATTAGTATAGTGATCTACTCTTTACAAAGCACTACCACACCTCCCTTATTTAACATTCATTGTGGTTTTAGTTGAGGCTAGGTTGGGACTTTCATGAGGATGCTTATAGGAGCAACAGTTCACAGACCTAAGCTGAGACAGAATGCTTGACCAGAATGAGAAATGTTGTTTTGTAAGTGTTGAAAAGGAACTCAGAAGATAAGCCAGGTAATGCATCTGCCAGTGGTGAGAGGATGCAGCAGTTGCCCTCCCCTTCACTGGAGCTATCTCCCCACAGGCAACATCAAAAGCTTTCAGCTCAGGGACCAAGTGGAGGGCCATCTTCAGAGCATGAGAGCAGTGCTTGTAAACAGAGAGATTACGAGGTGTTCATGAGCTCGTTTGCCCATTCAGATAACCCTGAACATAAGTATCTTTTATTACATTATCATATATCTGTGTGTGTGTGTGTGTGTGTGGTGTGTGTATATATATATACTATATGATATATGCACACTATAATGAATGATTATAAAATATACAGATGAGTAATGAGCACTCAAGACAAGAAATATAATATCACCAGGAGTCCCAGAAGCATTTTAAGTGCCCCTACCTGATTAAAGCCCCATACCCTCCTCCTGTCACAGTGGTTCTCAAAGTATAGTCACTGCACTGGACAGGGTGGTGAGAGAGTGTGTCTATAGGACCCTTTAAGGATGTCCATGAAGTTAATATTTTCAAAATAATATTAAGAGTTATTTACCTTTTTTTTTTTTTTTTACTGTGTTGCCATTTGTACTGATTTTAGAAAAGTAATGATTATAGACTTCTTGAGAAAATTGTTGACATATGCTATTCCACTCTCTGGATGTCTTTTGTGCTCTAAAGCCTTATGAAGCATTATCTCATTTCACATTCCTATTCTCTTGAAAAAAGAGCATTTAGGAAGACCACATTCTAGTACAGCAAAGTGGTCTATATGATGCCAAATAATAAGTTATATTGAAGTAAGAGCTTTCCACTATCCCCTATCCCCAGCAATTAAGCATATCTCAAATTACTTTTGTAACCACTCAAGAAGAGGAAGCTTTAGCTAGATGTTGCTTTCCCTGTCCTTGGAGAGTACTTCATTGTTGGGCAGCCAGGAAGCTTGTTTACGTCTATTCTGACCCATCTATGCCTCACATATTTATAATCAATGCCTAAAACTAAGAATTAAAGACTGTTCTTTCCCAAGAACACCATTCTGGGGATCATCACTCCTCTCATGTCTTCCTCAAGGGAGCTGGTCTAAATGGTGGACAGTTACCCTACTTCGACATAAGGAGAGCTCACCTTCAACCTTGCTCTGTATTCAGTTAGTTTACCCAGGCCATGGCTGCTTGGAACATCTGTGGTGAACCTAGAACCCTAGTTTACAAGGAAGGTACACCCTCTTTAAGTGCCTCATATATTTCATCTGTGGTGTGTGAGGAAGTCAAACTACCACATACATTCAACCTCTTCCAAAGTCCATATTATGTCTCTCAGAGGGCTTTCACCACAAAACTTCCTGAAGATGATGAAGGTGAACAACATAAAGATGTCTATATTCAGAAGCCTCTTAAAAACTCAAGGACCACTCTCTCAGAAAACCAAAAAATACAAAGAGGTATAGTCATGGGTGCTGGTTGGACAGATTCATGCCCAGCCTCCAAATCTGATCCACTATTCTATTGGCTCCATTTAAGATAGTAATGATTGACTACAGAATTTCAGGGAACCTTATCAGAGTTGATACCTAAAATCTAATCAAGAGAACTTTCTTGATATTCACTGGCAAGCAACCAATAAAAAAGGGGGAGTGGTTACTGATATGGAAATTATTCATTCATTCATTAATAAACAATTAATTATTGATATGTACTCTCTGATAGTTCCTATTCTAGGCCTCATGCTTCAACCATGAACACAATAGTCCTTGCTTTCACAGAGCTTGCTTCATAATTTTTGATAAAATAATGGAACAGAATTTTGTGTTTAAGTTTCAGAGGAGTAAAAACCATAAATAGTCATTCTATCTTAATAATAATAGTAACAACTACAATAATAAAAACTCTGCTGAAGGATGAAGAGAACAGTGAACTTATTTCCCTAGCCATGAGGGATTTCTCTGAATTTTTAATAGATTTGAAGGAAAAATTTCCTTTTAAAAAAAAAGATATTTAATAAGATTTACTGATATTTCATTTGTAGCAACTGACATAATAGTGAATCAGTAATTTTCATAATAATTATTATTTTTAAAACTCAGGTAATTATTTAAATAATGTTGCTCCATCTTTGAAGTTAGCACATATTCCACAAAGGGGAAAACTAAGAGGAGTTACTGTACTCATATTTCTGTCCTTCCCAGCTTGCATGTTAGGAGTTTAAAGCCATTGTAAGAAATAACAGATTTACTTTTTTTCTGGCCTAATAATTCCATTTAATAACTGTTTTACTGATTAGAAACTATTTTTCTTTTTTATAAAAAGAAAGCAACTTTCAAATGGGTCTTCTAACTCCAGTTCCCTACCTCCTTCTGAAATCAGAGTCTACCTCCGATCTGTTTCAGTTGCAGGTGGTACTAGACTCCCCAAATTACCATTATGGCTTATCTCCATGCCTAAAGCAGGTGTGACCTAGAGAAACCAGTTGGTTTGACCAGCCAAAACAATACAGGAGATTCACTCCACTGGGACCCAGAAAAGGCATCCCTTTTTCTGTATTTCCTGTATGTACCTTGATAGATATAAAATATAAGTTCCCAGAGCTTGGGGATTTTCTACTTCTTATTCAACTGTATCTCCAAAGTTTATTGCATAGTATGGCACTAAATACATGTGTATTTCTTTTCTTTCTTTCTTTCCTTCTTTCTTTTTTTTTCTTTTTTTTTTTTTTGATGGCTTAAAACAACAGAAATTTATTCTCTCACAGTTCTTTTTTTTTATTTTCATTTTTTTTTTAAAGATTTTATTTATTTATTTGACAGATAGATCACAAGCAAGCAGACAGGCAGGCAGAGAGAGAGGAGAAAGCAGGCTCCCCTAGAGAGCAGAGAGCCCGATGCGGGGCTCGATCCCAGGACTCTGAGATCATGACCTGAGCCGAAGGCAGCAGCTTAACCCACTGAGCCACCCAGGCGCCCCTTTTCATTTTCATTTGATTTTTCAATTTCTTTTCAGTGTTCCAGAATTCATTGTTTATGCACCACACCCAGTGTATTTCTTAAAGGACACTGAAAGAAGCTCTTAAACAAAACTGACTGAATTTTGCTAACTTGTTATAGCTTTCAGCATTTGAATGGAAACTGTTCCAATTTAGGAATAAGAAAATGCATACATACCAATGGGGATGAGCTATTGTTAAAGATAAGGACAAAAAGAAAAGATGACCCAGAGTATCACTTAAATTTAAGATCAAGTAAGTTCTAGTAACTCTTTTCTGTTTACTCCCTTTTCTTACAGTCTTTGAGATCCTGCTTGAAATTTGGTCTTATTTTCTAGTAAGTTTCTTGTTTGGAATTCTATGTTCAAAACTGATTCAACTGTGGATATCTACTGTTTTTGGAGATGATGTCTATCACATAAGCCTCAGCGTCTCAATTCTGCACCTCATCTTTTTTATTTGTAAGTCTGAGACCTAAAATGACAGAAAAATGCAAAATAGAGATTTGGGAAAATGCGTACCAGGCAAAGTTTGTAAAAAAAAAAATAAAAACAAAAACAAATTCAACTTATCTAGGAGGAATATTTTTGTTAAAATAACCCATCAAAAGAGATAAAAATATTAGTTTCTATACAACAGAAATTAATGTCTCAAAATATGTCAAGCAAATAACATTATAAAAGCCAAAAGAATTTGACAAAATCATAATTACAATGAGATACTTGAGCATGCCTTTCCCAGATAATTTCATAAGCAGTTGGACAAAAAATAATGATGGCTATAAAAAGATATAAATAAAAAAATAATTGCTTGGTTTACAGAATATAAGGTTTTATTTCCTCAAACAGAAGGCATATCCTTTACACATACCCAAAGACAATTTACAGAAATGAACTAGACTTGAAGAGCATTTTAATAAAATCTGAAACACTGTTCAATAACAATGCATTCACAATTACCTTTAGTGTATTTACTATTCTACTATATTTACTATAATTACATTACTTATACTTGCTATAATGCATTTACTAATTACAAAAGGAAGGTCTTTATTAATCATTCTAGTAGCCTGAAATTAAATATACTTTTCTTGATAAATTTTAGATCAAAAAGGAAATCAAAATAGAAGTTACAGATCAAGACTAAATATTAGAAAAATCTGTTAATGTTAATCCATTTGTCACCCTCTCCTCCTCACGGAAGTATGGCAAATATTAATGATTCACCCTATTATTGTTCTCTGATGCAGCCCCAGAATGTCATTTAACCCAGCTCTTCAAGACAGCCCTGTAAATGACTTGGAGTTAGCATGTGCAGGAAATAATAGCTAGTTACTTATACCAACTTATACAATGTCCTTCCTTTTACAGATGGGAGGGAGCCAATATTGCCTAGTTGCATATCCATGATTTCTCTAGAAGCTTTTGCTAAAGCTATAGAAAGAAAAAGAAAGACAAAAAGAAAGAAACAAAGAAAGGGAGGAAGGAAGGAAGGAAGGAGAGAAATGAATGGATTTATACATAATTTTGAAGGAGAAAATGATTACATTAATGACAGCATTTTTGATTAAATAGAAAATCCAAATGCATTAACTAATAAACCAAGCCCAAAAGGTTTTTTAATAGTTTGATATAAGATAAATATACAAAAAAAGTGTCCTTATAAGCCAGCAGTAGCTTGTTAGAAAATATAATAAAAATTTGATTCTCTTTACATTGGCAAAATATTACAAAATATAAAGGAATAAACTGAACAAGAAGTTTGAGCCTAAACACGGAAAACTATAAAAGCTTATGAGAGGGGCGCCTGGGTGGCTCAGTGGGTTAAGACGCTGCCTTTGGCTCAGGTCATGATCCCAGGTCCTGGGTTCAAGCCCCACATCGGGCTTTCTGCTCAGCGGGGAGCCTGCTTCCTCCTCTCTCTCTGCCTTGCCTCTCTGTCTACTTGTGATTTCTCTCTGTCAAATAAATAAATAAAATCTTTAAAAAAAAAAAGCTTATGAGAAATACGAGATTTGAATAAATTAAGACAGAGAAAATCTTTTTAGAAATGCTAGAGTAACAAGATTCATTATTTTTGTGTCTGATGATGGAAAGGCAGAATATAGAATCTTGAGGCTTCCTAACTAATCAGTAGATTAAAGCCAGTTATAATCAAGTGAGTTTACATAATCAAGTTAATGAATTAATAGACATCAAGAGAATGGTCAGTACAGATACATTCATTGCATACTACTTTAATTATGGATACCTAAATTTCTACAAAAAATATATTCTAGCAAATAATATTTCCTCTAACATTATTTAGTAAGTGAATATAGCCCCAAGATTGAGGGTTATTCTTCCCAAAATAGTTTTAAAGTTTTAGAGTTAAAATGTTTAAAAGAAAACTTCTGAAACAGAATTTCATGAAAATGAGGTACAGGGTAAATATAAATCTAATGTAAAAGGACTTTCACTCTGACCTGGCTTAATGTTTATTTTATTAGTATCTTCAAGGTACTCACCATAAATATTTTCCAAGTTTCACTACTACCTAATAAATGACTTATGACTTGTCCAGTGCTTGATCTCCTCAAAATGCCTATGTCCTCTACTTTATAATTCAAAATGCCTCTATTTTATGATTCAAAATGCCTCTATTTTATAATTCAAAATTAACTAAACAAAGTGTTAGTTTCTGGCTTAGGTACCATTCCTAGCCAGAATTAAAATAAAGAATATAAAACTTGTAATTTTCCAACTCTGGAAGGGAAGACTCAGTAGTATAAGGATACTAACTTTATAAAATTAAACTGTATCACAATCTGAATCAAACAATGATAGAAATTGAAGGAAGGGTTAAATTTTACTAAACAATTTAAAATATTATCTGGAAATACTGATTGTGAGAACAGACAAGATAACTTTAAGAAAAGTGAAGAACTTTCTCTATTAGGTAGGTATTAAACCTTTAGCAAGTCACCAGTAATTAAAATACAACTGTTGTAACAAAGTACTATAAAGTAAGCCAAAAAATGGAGGGACAAAGAACTGATCCAAATATGCCTGGTAATTGATAAATATGGCAATATGATAAAATTGGCATACCTTAATATTCTTTATTATTAAAACAAAAATTGTAATGCTTATTAACTAGAAAAATGTCTGCTAAACAATAAGTGAAAAAAGAAGCTCATTACAGAACTCTATTATGTATAATCTCATTATAGTTGTTTGTTTTAATATGTGACTTTGTGTGCATGAATGTCATATATATGCCATCATGAGTATTGACTGGGTGTTCCACTCCTCTTAAAGATCTTAATCCAATTATCTTAAATTCCCAATTCTATACCAATGAGCACCCAAAGATTTCCTCATGAGTCCTGAAAATTTCTGGAGTTTAGTTCCTCATGATTTCTGCTACTTCTTTTTAAATATACAGAAGTTTTTGGTTCTTTGTAAATTTTACTGAAGATGGGGACAAAGGGGCTCACAAAGGAAGTTACATTACGTAATTCATGTATCTATGAGATCTGATAGCTCCCTTTAATTCTTCACTTTTCCATGTTTCCTGCTTAATTCTCACATCTGTGTCCATTATAGAAATTTAGCATGTATCCTTTAATGCTTAAAGCTGCCCTTTGGATGGAACCAGGAAGAAATAGAAAACCTGAACAGACCCATAACCAGTTAGGAGATTGAAACAGTCATCAAAAATCTCCCAACAAACAAGAGCCCAGGGCCAGACGGCTTCCCAGGGAATTCTAGCAAACATTTAAAGAAGAATTGATACCTATTCTTCTGAAATTGTTCCAAAAAATAGAAATGGAAGGAAAACACCCAAACTCATTTTATGAGACCACCATTACCTTGATTCACAAACCAGACAAAGATCCCTTCAAAAAGGAGAATTACAGACCAATATCCTTGGTGAACACAGATGCAAAAATTCTCACCAAAATACTAGCCGATAGAATCCAACAGTACATTAAAAGGATTATTCACCATGACAAAGTGGGATTTATTCTAGGGTTGCAAGTTTGATTTAACATCCACAAATCAATCAATATGGTACAATACATTAATAAAAAAAAGAACAAGAACCATATGACATTCTCAATAGATGCAGAAAAAGCATTTGACAAAGTATAGCATCATTTCTTGATCAAAACTCTTCACAGTGCAGGGATAGAGGGTACATACCTCAAAATCATCAAAGCCATCTATGAAAAACCCACAGCGAATATTATTCTCAATGGAGAATAACAGAGCTTTTCCCTTAAGGTCAGGAACACAGCACAGATGTCCACTATCACCACTGCTGTTCAACATAGTACTAGAAGTCCTAGCCTCAGCAATCAGACAATAAAAAGAAATAAAAGACGGCAAAAAAGAAGTCAAACTCTCACTCTTCATAGAAGCCATGATACTTTATGTGGAAAACCCAAAAGACTCCACTCCAAAACTGCTAGAACTCATACAGGAATTCAGTAAAGTGTCAGGATATAAAATCAATGCACAGAAATCAGTTGCATTTCTATACACGAACAGCAAGACAGAAGAAAGAGAGATTAAGGAGTCTACCCCATTTACAATTGCTCCCAAAACTACAAGATACCTATGAATAAACTAACCAAAGAGGGAAAGAATCAGTACTCAGAAAACTATAAAGTACTCATGAAAGAAATTGAGAAAGACACAAGGAAATGGAAAAACGTTCCATGCTCATGGACTGGAAGAACAAATATTGTGAAAATGTCTATGCTGCCTAAAGCAGTGTACACATTTGAAACAATCCCTATCAAAATACCATCCATTTTTTTCAAAGAAATGGAACAAATAATCCTAAAATTTATATGGAACCAGAAAAGACCCTGAATACTTAGAGGAATATTGAAAAGGAAACCAAAGTCGGTGGCATCACAATTCCAGACTCCAAGCTCTATTACAAAGCTGTCATCATCAAGACAGCTTGGTATTGGCACAAAAACAGACACATGGATCAATGGAACAAAATAGAGAGCCCGGAAATGGCCCCTCAACTCTATGGTCAACTAATCTTTGACAAAGCAGGAAACAATGTCCAGTGGAAAAAAGACAGTCTCTTCAACAAATGGTGTTGGGAATATTGGACAGCCACATGCAGAAGAATCAAACTGGACAATTTCCTTACACCACACACAAAAATACGCTCAAAATGGATGAAAGACCTCAATGTGAGACAGGAATCCATCAAAAGCCTTGAGGAGAACACAGGCAGCAACCTCTTTGACCTCAGCTATAGCAACTTCTTCCTAGAAACATCGCCAAAGGCAAGGGAAGCAAAGGCAAAAGTGAACTATTGGGACTTCATCAAGATCAAAGGAAAGCACAGCAAAGGAAACAGTCAACAAAACCAAAAGATAACTGACAGAATGGGAGAAGATATTTGCAAACGACATATCAGATAAAGGGCTAGTATCCAAAATCTATAAAGAACTTATCAAACTCAACACTCAAAGAACAAATAATCCAATCAAGAAATGGGCAGAAGACATGAACAGACATTTCTGCCAAGAAGACATCCAGGTGGCCAACAGATACATGAAAAAGTGCTCCACATCACTCAGCATCAAGGAAATACAAATGAAAACCACAGTGAGATACCACCTCACACCAGTCAGAATGGCTAAAATTAATAAGTCAGGTAATGGCAGATGTTAGGAAGGATGTGGAGAGAGAGGAACCCTCCTACACTGCTGGTGGGAATGCAAGCTGGTGCAGCCACTCTGGAAAACAGTATGGAGGTTCCTCAAAAAGTTGAAAATAGAGCTACCCTATGACCCAGCAATTGCACTACTGGGTGTTTGCCCTAAAGATACAAATGTAGCGATCCAAAGAGACACGTGCACCCAAATGTTTATAGCAGTAATGTCCACAGTAGCCAAACTATGGAAAGAACCTAGATGTCCATCAACAGATGAATGGATAAAGAAGATGTGGTATACATATACAATGGAATACTATGCAGCTATCAAAAGAAATGAAATCTTGCTATTTGCAACAATGTAGATGGAACTAGAGGGTATTATGCTAAGCAAAATAAGTCAATCAGAGAAAGACAATTATGTGATCTCTCTTATGAGGAGTTTGAGAGGAAGAATAGAGGGGTCATGGGGGGAAGGGAGGGAAAAAACGAAACATAATGGGACTAGGGAGAGAGAAAAACCATAAGAGACTCTTAATCTCAGGAAACAAACTAAGGGTTGCTGGGGGGTGGGGGGTTAGGGATAGGGTGGTTAGGTTATGGACATTGGAAAAGGCTGTGGTGAGTGCTATGAAATGCGTATGTCTGATGACTCACAGACCTGTACTCCTGGGGCAAATAATACATTATATGTTAAATAAATAAATAAATAAAATATAACTTTAAAAAGCCCTTTGGATCTCATTCTCTGTTCTCAACTAACTTATTAACTTATTTCTTCTAAACAAAAATAGTCCTCTCCATTTTAGAGATACTAATGCAAATTTTCTTTAAAATTATAATTATCTTCCTTGACTTACAATGGAGTTATATCTCAATACACCACTGTAAGTTGAAAAGATCATTAAGTCAAAAATGCATTTAGTAGGGGCGCCTGAGTGCTCAGTGTGTTAAGCCTCTGCCTTTGGCTCAGGTCATGAACTCAGGGTACTGGAATCGAGGCCCACATTGGGCTATGTGCTCAGTGGGGAGCCTGCTTCTCCCGCTCTCTCTGCCTGCCTCTCTGCCTACTTGTGATCTCTCTCTGTCAAATAAATAAATGAATTTTTTTTAAAAATCTTTAAAAAAATGCATTTAGTACACCTCACCTACCAAACATCATAGCTTAGCCCAGTCTACCTTAAACATGCTCAGAATACTTACATTAGCCCGCAGTTGGGCAAATTATGTCACACAAAGCCTATTTCATGAAAAGGTTGGATATCTCATGTAATTTAGTGAGTGCTGTACTGAAAGTGAAAAGCTGAATGGTCGTGTGGGTGCAGATTGGCTATAAGTGTACCAGTTGATGACTCTCATGATGGCCTGGCTGACTGGAACCTGTGGCTCGCTGCCACTGCCCAGCATCATGAGAGAGGCTCTTAGTACAAATTGCTAGCCTGAGAAAAGATCAATACTCAAAATTGGAAGTGTTGTATCTACTGGATGCACACTGCTTTTGCACTATTGTAAAGCTGAAAAGTCACAAGTCGAAACTTTGTAAATTGGGGATGGTCTGTACTTGAAGTCTTGGTAGTTGAATTATGGATCCTCTTTTTTTAATTGCTATGCTGTACCATATGCTGTACCATATTTGAATTTTTATAGTGGTAATATACTACATTCATAAGCAAGAGGTAATATAATTCTAATACCACTACTTTTAAGAATATTCCAAATTTTTATGCTTTTCAGTCCAGCACAGTAAATGTGCCAAAACAATATTAAGCTGGGAAAGTATATCCATATGAGGTTTCTACTGGGTCGACTCCCTTAGTCCTACCACAAAATCAAATCATTTCTATCTCCTGTTGTCTCCTAAGAAGAAAGCATATGAAGTGGGCTCGTTCATAAAGAACTCACTGGCTCACTTCCATTTCATTCCTCCAGAGCCCCTCTGAAAAAATTAGACCTGTAGAGGGTGCTCAAGCCAGAGTGGGGCACATGAGAAATTTTGTGAGCTTCATATTGTTGGCAGTGATCTGAAGCCAAAGCAGTGCAAGGAGATTCAGTATAGACTTGACATCACAGTTGGGTGGGAATCTGAGAAGGAAGAGGACGAGGTGGTGGTAACAATCTGTAATATAATCCAGTTGAAACCAAGTAGGTCAGCCTCTCTATAAAGTTATTATACTATCAAGATATCCGATATTTTCATCTTGGACAAAATTTGTGCCACTGTTGATGTTAAATTAATACTTTATATTTATTTCTTTTAAAATTAGGTGAGCTGGCTGGAATGTCTGGAATATTTACCCTGGCCATTATGGGACTTTTTTTGAATTCTACAAGTTTTAAACCAGGAGTTGAAGCGCTTCTTCTCGAGTGAGTAGATGGTATATTTTCATTTTGTTTCATGCATTAGAAGCTATAATATTGTAATAGCAACTCTATCTACATCTACATTAGTCAAAGTAAGATATGGACTCCAAAACTACCTGACTAAAAACCTTTACTAAAAATTCTATTTGCCTGTGTTTTCTAATCCTCTAATTTGGGGCAAAATTTGTAACCTTACCTTGAGCTCATGTTAGCTCTGTTTTCCTACTAATTCTCTCAAGTGTCTGACAGTCTACTCAGTAATTTCTAGTAAAATTTACTAGACAGGGCCAGGATTAAGGTAAGGCATTCCAGCATAAAATTTAAGAAGGTGCCAAAAAACTCAGTAATGAAGATAAATAATATTTTAGTGCAATATTTTTTTTGAAAATTGGAAGTAATGCAAAAAAATCCATGTTTGTGAAAATAGAAAACTTTTAAATTAAGATGGAAACAATATTACTGATTAATTCCTTTTGCCTCAGGCTCCAACAAGGCTCAGCATGGTATTACTACTAGAACAGAAACCCAATATTTTAAGGACAATGAAGAGATAGCCTGCAAAGCAAATTAAAAGATTAAGCTAGAGCATCTGAAAAGGATTGGCCATGGTATAAAAGAAAATATGGCCAAATGTACAAATGTATCAACTGTGCCCTGCTCAAGGGCATCCAGTTTAGGGGTGATTGGAATTTGCACCAGTGTAGAAGAAGGGTGCTGCTTTTTGTGATGCTCCAACATATAGGCTGAGAATTTGACCTAAATCACACAATGGCAACATATGTTAACAGAGACTCTGAACATAATCAGTGATTTTAGAGTTTTGGAGAACAATATAGAAAATAGAATAAGTTTGAAAGTAAAGAACCTTATAGAATTTTGAAGCACCTACTAACACTTCGTGTCAATTACAATGAAAGCTAATTGTACCAGCAGCTAGGCAGAATTACTTGCCACAATTAATTGCTGGAGGAAGAATTAAAAATATTATGTGTTTCAACTCTGCCTTTGGGAAATGATTCCGAGGACTCCTTTCACCTTTCTGCTCTACCTGCAACCTGGGTCTCCCGTGAAGACATTACTTCGCTTGCATTCCTTAAAAGTTGTGTTTTTCTCCCTCACATCCCTGGTACTACTGAGCCTAGAGCTGTGGTAGGTGATCTCTCTGTATCTCAAAGTCCTTTCTAGGTCATTCTTTATCATTCTTCCCTAGAAAAACCCAGTTTTGAAGCTCATGCCATCAGATTACACCACCTGCCACCCTCTTGGTTGAGTTATGTCTAGAGCCCCGAATCACACTCTCCATTTCATGAAGATGTTGGCCCCCCTCTCACTGTGGCTGTCTGCAGCACCATTTCTCTATCACTATTCCTAGTGATGTCAATCAGTATCCACACAGTCGATCCTTCTACTCCACCTTTCAGCTCCTGGACTTCCTCTCCTCCTATGAGCATGTTTCCCACCTTGCTTAAGCCACCCACTAAATGACCACTTCATAATCTCAATTTCAAGAATCTTACTGTCTTAAAACACGACATGTGTCAGCTCCTACTCTCCAAGATGGTAGAAATCTAGGATAACAAAAGGTAAATCCACCTGAAGCCTATAGTAATCTGCAGCAGGTCCTTGCTACTCTCTCAGAGAAGAAGTCCATCATCTCCCGTGTTTTAGGCTTACAGCCTCTGGGACCCCGATTCGAACAATTCTGCAGTCACGCGGAGACGACACAGAGTCAAGCCCATGATCTTTTACGGATCCTCACTGGCCTCACTTCCTCCTTACCCAGATCATTTCTTTTGTTTAAAGCTGTCTGATAACTTCTATTCTGGCTACAGGTCAAAGCTGTTTTAATGGCAAGCAAACAGAGACCGATGTCCCCCTCATTTCCACCACTCACACCCTCACTGAACTCACCCTAGCCACGCTGATCACTCTGCTGTTCCTCAGACGTGCCCAATGTGCTATTTGTGTTGCTTCTGTCCTTGAGTTTCTGTTCCTGAAATGCGCTTCCCCTGTATGCTGGCAGAGTGGACACCCTACTTCTTTCATGCTTCCATTTATACATCACCTTCCTAGAAAGAAATTCCCAAAATAGAAACTACTTCCTTGCCAGGCTGCAGGATCTTTTATTCCTGACAAGTTGACATCCCAACAACATTCTGTCTATAAGGTCATGTCATTTCTCTAGGCTAGTGGCTGTCCAATGTCAGGCAATAAACATAATACAGTTGTCTGGATCTGTTGAACCAAAATCATGACTGCATCAGACATCTGGTTTTTTAAAAATTTTTCTAAAATTCTCCCCTTATGACACTTAGATACAGACAGGGTTGTGACCCTTTGCTACATAAAAGATACACAAAAACACTACACATGTAAAAATACACAACAGTATTAGGATACTCATATCATCACATAAAAGAGAAGTTCTTTTTTTTTTAAGTCAGAAACACTTTTTCAATGTGCCTAAATTGTTACAAACACACACGTGCACACACCCATGCACAAGGTCATGCACAAGTCCATGAGATGGGTTGGAGCTTGGTTGTTCAGTTCAAACCTACTTTGAATTTGATAGACTGGTTCCTTAAAGAATCTGGTTTCCTCCTCATCAGGTTTCTCCCATTAGTTTCTACCACATATGAAAGGGTCTTGACAGCTGCTCTATATTTGTTGCTTAGTTGATTTGATTGCATTTTATGCTCACTTAATGAGACCGTTATATTCGGTATTCAGCAGCATTTTTTCCACAATGTTAGGAAAATTTTTCAATTATGCACTTGTTAAATGAAAAGAAAAGTATGATAGTAGTTCATATTCACCACTCACTTGACTGAATTATCCTACTCAATTAATGTTCACAAAGGATTTCATTAATTGTATGGGTAGGGGGGTATAATGCTTTGAGGGATTTTATTTCATTTTATTTTATTTTCTTGGTGCCTATGCACATGGTGCAACAATTGGATTTGCTTTTGATGGTGAAGTCAAAAGAAGGATAAAAAAACACAAAAATTACAGAATCATCATAAAATATATCTTCATGTGTTTCCCTCTGAGTTAACATTGGATGCAGCATTTGAATCCAGAAGCTAACAGAATTAAAAGCATGGCCATGCATATGTAAGAAAGGGATGACAATTCATAGCCTACAGTAATTAGCCTTAGTGTGGTCACATAAACACTATTTTGAAGTATTTAACTTAATATTTCTTAGGCTAGAATGTTTTATATGCAGTGTTTGCCTGATAAGGCCTAGGTATTTGTGCCTCTTAAATACTGCTTGGAACTGAAATTTTGTATTACTGCAATAGAGAGTTATTTTTAGTATTGGATCTGGTATTTGGCAAGTCCATTTTTCTGGAGAAGGGACAATCATTCTTTTTAAGGGTTTCAGGGACTGAAAACCCTTCAGCATATGGTTAAACCAAGCCACCGTCATCTCATGAAAGTGGTATTTGTGTACCCTTTTAATCTTTTCAATTTATTTTGTTATTAATATAATATGGTGACATTCGCAGGAAATATATAGGAAGAAAATAAAAAGTAAATTTTAAAAATAGCCTCCTATGGTCCCAACACCAAAACATGACAAATACTGGTAACTGAGTGTCCTTTACCAAATTGCTTTGTCTGTAGCAGATGAGAACATGCACTTCAGAGTGATGTAGAGTTTTCCTGGGCTCTTAGGCACTTTAAAACGTACATACGCTCACAAATCCCAAAAGGAGGAATATACTGAGGGCATTCATTTGAATAAAGGATTAATTCACATCTTCTAAGTGCTCACTAGATTTTAGGGTAAGCCTTAATTCTATCACTATATAAAGCAGATTAGCAGTTTTCAGTGTTCCTTTTAAAGATAATTTTAGCTCTTCCTAATGATACAAGGAGTTCACAACCGGGATTTTCAAGCCACATGAACCACGATGCCTGAATGAACCAAAACATGTTTTCAGAATCAATCCCAAAAGAAAGACACTAATTTACATGTAGTTGCTTTAGAATTATGTGTTTACTTGCCTTACTGCTCCTTTCTCCCAGTTAAATTATAAGCCCTTTAAGTATAGGTAAATGCCTTATTCATCTTTATTTTCTTGATTAGGCTTAGCACAATGTTTCACATGAATAAGCCTTGTGATAAATGTGTTAGATTACTTACCTGTAATTAACTACATTCAGCTTTTTTCTGAAAATGCAGATTCTGGAATTGTCTATCATTTGTTGCTTCGCTTATGGTGTTTACCTTCATTGGACTTCTAATTCCTGCACATACGTATTTATACATATCATTTTCTGACATATATTATTCCTTAAATATCTATTTCACACTTATTGTTTTAAGGTAAGAATGTCATTTGAATTTTTCTATTTAGAGGACACTGAGTAAGCCCAAAGATATTTTTTTAAATAAAAATGTGTCATTCCTTAGAATGAAAATGAAGAATTCCCTCTTAAACTTGCCAAAGAATCATTAGCAAATTACTGTTTTAGTGGGGCTTTTTCGTTCAACTTCTAACTGCATGTCAAAGTAATCCAAGAACTCTATAATTTTTTTTTAATTAGAAGAAAAAAAAATCTTTCATAATTTTACTACCCAGGGGAAACTGCTGTTAACATTTGGTATGTTTTGTCCAGTGTTATTTTTTCCTATGAGGTTTCATAAAGTTCAGCATCAATCATAAATAAAAATTTTATGTTATTTTTGTTTGCCTAATATTGTACAACAAATAATTTCCTTCTGATTAATTTATAGTTACAAATAGATTTTTAAAAATCATTAGAAAGTCCTCTTTGTAAATGTCCTTTTTGCTTAAATAATTTTTGTAGTCCCTTTTTCAGTGGTAAAAGGCAGGAAAGAGTCTGCCCATGTTAGTGAAAAGGATGTGCTATAGAGGAGGAAAAACCACCATGACTACACTCTCCAGGTTGTATCCCTTGTGTTGCTAGCATTCTGCCTCCATCTAGGAAAACTAATTAGGAGTCGACAGCAGTTGGCTAGTGCCAACTGAATGGAAATTACTACCAAATTATCAGATTCAATTAGTGTGAAATGTAGGAGATATGTGATTAAAAGAAAAGCTAGAAAGAAATCTGCCAGTATTGGATAAATTCAGCAAGGTTAAAAATCTACAAAAGAACAAAGAAAGGGAAAACATTTTCCCCCTTCAGTTCTTATTCATTAGACTTTTTTTATTTTGGGGGGAGTGGGGAGGATCCAGGATAGAATAGATCCACAAAACATCTCTAACTTTTTCTTTTCTACCCCAAGAAATGTGGAATTACCCTACTACAGACTTCATAGAAAGAAGCAAAAAGAATAATGCCATCCTCTTGTCCTCTCTCTCAATGAAATGCCCTTCTGCCTTTTTTCGGTGCCATGGTGTGTGAAAAGATGGTTCCTTTGTCTGAGAGTCGGCCATTCCACAGGGAATAGATTGGAATAGAGTAGAATGAAATGAAAAAAAAAATGTCTATGGCAAGAATAACTTTTTAAAATCTCTTTTGTGTTTTAGACTTCTGATTTTTCTAATAATGAGCCCTGTTTTGTCTCGACTTGGTCATGGGTTCAGTTGGCGCTGGGCATTCATAATGGTCTGGAGCGAAATGAAAGGAATGCCTAATATAAACATGGCTCTTCTGCTTGCCTACTCTGACCTTTCTCTTGGCTCTGAGAGGGAACAATCTCAAGTAAAGATAAATGAATTTTTTTATTTGAGCATTTTACAAATACTGTTTCTGTGTACTAAAATACATTTTTGTGGATTGGTAGCTCAATCCCACTTGGATGATGGGAGTGGTTTAGCTGTGCTGGCAAGATTGGGGAGAGGAAAAACAACTGGCAACTTTCCTCTTCCTGGGGAACATTCTGGCTTAGGGATTCCCTAAACACTTTCCTTAGCATTACAATCATGTTTTTCATTACAAGAGCAATAAAATCCATAAAATAAGAGAGGTAAACACACCTGTCCCTACTCTTACCTTTCTAACACCTGATTGGATGATTTGGGTTTATCTTCTCATTCAATTTTTTTTTCTTTAAGATTTTATGTATTTATTTAAAAGAGAAAGAAAGAGCATGAGTGAGAGAGCACAAGCAAGGAGAGCAAAAGCAGGGGGAGTGGCAGAGGGAAAGTGAGAAGCAAACTCCCCACTGAGCAAGGAGCCTGATGCGGGACTCCATTCCAGGACCCTGGGATCATGACCTGAGCCAAAGGCAGACACTTAGCCATCTGAGCCACCCAGGCAACCCTTTTCATTACACTTTTAAAATGAGTTTATTATGGGGACACCTGGGTGGCTCAGATGGTTAAGCATCTGCCTTCGGCTCAGGGCATGATCCCAGGGTCCTGGAATGGAGCCCCACGTCTGTGTCAGGCTCCTTGCTCAGCTGGGAGCCTGCTTCTCCTTCTGCCTGTGCTTCTGCTTTCCGTGCTTGTGTGTGCTTGCTTTCTCTGTTTCTCCCCCTGCCAAATAAATAAATACAATCTTAAAAAAAAAAAAAAAGTTAAGGAGTTAAAACTTATAAATAATTTTAAAATAGTACCTGATAAGGGTGCCTGAGTGGCTTGATCAGTTATGCCTCCAAATCTAAATGGTTTTGGCTCATGTCATGATCATGAGATAGAACCCTGCATTGCACTCCAGATTCTCTCTCTCCCTCTCCCTCCGTCCTTTCCCCCGTCAAATAAATAAATGAATAAATATTTTATTTTTTTAAATTTTATTTATTTATTTATTTGACAGATCACAAGTAGGCAGAGAGGTAGGCAGAGAGAGATAGGAGGAGGAGGCAGGCTCCCCGCCGAGCAGCAAGCCCAACACGGGACTCGATCCCAGGACCCTGAGATCATGACCTGAGCCGAAGGCAGAGGCTTTAACCACTGATCCACCCAGGTGCCCCATGAATAAATATTTTAAAAAATAGTACCTGATACAGAATATGTACTCAATAAGTGTTTTTATTTTTACTTACTGCTAATAGCCACTCGAGAAAAATAGAAACCGGCTTATGATTGACTTCATTGACTTTCACATTACTAAATGTGAGGCCACATTTAGTAATGCTAGGAACCAGAATATTTTAATGGTCTAGTGAAGTTACCTCTTCATTAATTACTAGCCCCAAATTCTGCCCAACAGAACATAAAAGGCATGATTCTCCCTCTACCTCGTTGCCAGGTAAGAACATTACAAGGACCTCTATAAGAAGTTTCCTGTGAAGATATCAAGATGCATCTAACACTTCCGTTGCAGGTTTTTTTTTAAAACACATAAATTCCAAATGTAAAGGGAAAAGCAGCAAGGGAATTATTGCCTGTCTAATTAGATAATATCCCAACATTAAAACATTAAACATTCAAACACTGCTTTTGAAAGCGAGATTATCTGGGGTGCCTGGGTGTCTCAGTCATTAAGCATCCGCCTTCCTCTCTGGTCACAATCCCAGAGTCCTGAGATTGACCCGCATATTGGGCTCCCTGCTCTACCAAAAGCCTGCTTCTCTCTTTCCTACTCCCCCTGCTTGTATTCCCTCTCTCGCTGTCACTCTCTCTTTATCAAATAAATAAAATCTTTTTTAAAAACCCACAGAATTATCTAATATTACATGATCTCCCCCCTCTTTTTAACTATCTCCACATGCCTGAATAATCAAGGTCAATTCGGCACCACACATCCTGACCCGTGTAATGGTAAACATCTCACATGGATCTGGATTCTGAAGTTTCTAGTTGGCTGCTATCTGCGGGGTGGCCATCAGTGAGTTAATTAATACCCACCTCAAGGCACATGTCAGTTTCCTCATCCAAAAGGGACTTAATAATACCGTGTGTTAGCAAATGTTAACAAGTAACTCTCTTAGGGGTCAGAGGGAGCCTTAAATAAGAATATTTGCCACTTTCCATTGCGTAATCACTCTAACAGAACAACAATCAACTCCATAACTTCCTGAAAATTTAACATCAGCTCTCACGAACTGGAAAAGTCAGCTCCAGCACACCACTATCTCAAAGGGTTATTTGAGAAATTGAAAATGTACATAAAATGCTCAACACATGGTTTAACATATTGTAAATGTACAATAAATATGAGCTGTAATGACATGATAGTGATGCCACGTAGACCCAATATGAGATAAAACCCTAGTAAACAAAATCCTGTAGTAAGATGCTCTCACTAGTAGCAACTAGTTGAGAAGAAAGTCACACTTCTTAATTTAATTTAGCTGAACCCTCCAGCTAACTTTTTAATACTCATGAAGCAGCACTCCAGGAAAGGGTTAAAAATAACTTAGTCTTGAGTCTTGTCCCTATTAGGACTCACAAAGGCCAACGACCTTGTGTAAGTAACAGTGCCTGAGTTTGTCTCCTGTGTAATTGGACAATCCTGGTATATACTTCATAGAATGGTAGTGAGGATTAAATAAGTTTGATATATTGTGCCCTACGCTTACTATATAGACGTTAGCTCATATTTCTATTGAAATAAAATAAGGAGGAATATTTTATTTCTATTGAAATAAAATAAGTTGAGGACCTTAGAGGTGTGTTAGAATGTATGTTAGAATGCTTCCGGAAGCTTTAGTAAATTACTGATGCCTGTGGAATTCTGGCTCTGGCCATAATGAAAAATGGATGTCAGATCTTTTTCCTATACTAAACTGGATATATATAGCTATTAAACTGGTTAAATATATGAAGCACCCAATATATGAAGGCCCAAGAAGTACAGCAATGGAATTTAGGGACAAGCATTTTTTTCCCCCAATGTCTCTAAGTACATGTTTACTTGTCAAACCATGTGTCCTGCCTGAGTCTTGATTTGGTTCCAAAAACATGGATAAAATACATGCAGGGAGACTGAGAATCCCCAGAGTACTTTCATCATGCCTGACATTCAAATTCTTTCCCTACTATGAGCATTTATTGACCTAATACAATCTAGTTTAATTTTCATTGGTAAATATAGAATACGTTACAAGAAATTATCATGAATATTTACTTTGTATTTTTCTTTCTATTCTAGGTATTATTTCATGGAGTGTCAGTATGCTTAATTACCTTGATTGTCAATAGATTTATTTTGCCAATGGCAGTCAGTAAACTAGGTAAGCCCTAGTAATTACTAATTACTAGGTAAACTCTACTAATTACTAAGTAACCCCTTGTAATTACTATTAGTGAAGAGATAAACATTCTAAAAATGCTAAAGAATAGCTGTTAATGAGGAAAGAAGCCACATAAATGAAAATCAGGTGTCTAATTGAAGAAGAAATTGGCTCTCTATATAAAAGCATATGAACAGGGGGTCCTGGGTAGCTCTGTTGGTTAAGCATCTGCCTTTGGCTCAGGTCATGATCCCAGGATCCTGGGACAGAGTTCTGCATTGGGATCCATGCTCAGTGGGGAGTGAGCTTCTCCCCCTCCTCCCCGCTTGTGCTCTCTCTCACTATCTCTGTCTCTCTCAAATAAACAAATAAAAAAAATTTTTTTTCAAAGCATATAAACATATTAGGCCAATAAGCTAATAAATTTTAAAAAGATTACTTATTTGCATTAGTCTAGTTTAAATAAAATAATACAATAAGTTTATTCAATTATTCAACAAACTTTTATTGAAAGCTTCCTATATGCCAGGCACTATTCTAACTGATAATGATGCATTATGAAGACAGACAGGATTTCTGTGTCAATGGAGCTTACACTGGAGAAAAGAGAAACAGACAGCAAGACAAATGAGGCAGGACCAGAGAGTCACATGCACAACAATGTAAACAAATTACACATACATAATATAGAAAATACAATGGGTGCTAGGTTCCTGAGGAAGCTGAGTATATTCAAGGAAAGAGGGTTTGACCCTTTGAGAACAAGCAGATAGTGGAGAATGTCCAGATGGGAGAGGTAGGAAGGGGTTAAGTAATGAAGGGCCTCGGATTTTAAGATTTTATTCTAAGGGCAAGAGGAATTCCTTGGCCAGTTTTAAGCAAGTGTAATTGTATGTTAACTCTAGTTCTGTGGATAAATGATTGAAGAGCAGAGAAGCAAAAATAGCAGTTGTAGGAGACACTTGCATTAAGTGGTTATGCCTGTTTTCATCTTCTATTTTTTAATTAGTTATTTTTTTAAATTTTATTAACATATAATGTATTGTTTGCTTCAGGGGTACAGGTCTGTGAATCACCAGTCCTGCACAATTCACAGTGCTCACCATAGCACATACCCTCCCCAGTGTCCATAACCCAGCCACCCCATTTCTCTTACCAGCCTCCCCTCCAGCAACCCTCATCATCTATTTTTTAACAAGGGAAGAGTGGAGATCTAGAGAGGTAAAGGTTCCTGCCCGAGGTCATGCAACAAGAGAACAGCAACTGAGGAACTAGAAACAAGCAGCCCTGATCAACCCATTATACTCCCAACTGCTCTAATCGCCCTTTCCGTTACACAGACCTTTCACCTTAATGCCATTTGTAATCAATCTGAGACTCTATCTTTACTGATGGCACCGCATTACCTAATCTGCCTGCCTGCCTTGTATTTGCAACCAAAACCTTTTTTCTTGTTAAAATTCTCTGAGCCTGGGGCTCCTGGGTGGCTCAGTGGGTTAAGCCTCTGCCTTCGGCCCAGGTCATGATCTCAGGGTCCTGGGATTGAGCCCCGCATCAGGCTCTCTGCTCGGCGGGGAGCCTGCTTCCCCCCTCTCTCTGCCTGCCTCTCTGCCTACTTGTGGTCTCTCTCTCTCTCTCTCTGTCCAATAAAAGTAAATCTTTAAAAAAATAAAATAAAATTCTCTGAGCCTTAACATAGTAAATTGGGAAAACAAGATCAAAGAGGGGAAGTTTTGGCAAAGAGTATCACATGTTCTACTTAATAGCTAAATAAACTTAAAATTCTTACTGAGGAGCACCTATTTATTTGCACTGAGAGCAGTGAACATTTGCTCATGGAACATTATTGCTTTCCAAGGAAGCTTCTGTGGCTCATTAAAAGGACTTTGTATCTGATAGGAGGAGTCCTTCAAACCTTAATGAGGTCTGAAGACAAACATATATCGTATACACTTATCATATACATATATATGATATTACATTTAGGTAGTATATATGTACATATCTATATTGATGCCTCCTACATATGTATCTCCTGCATATTTGTATATCTACCTATATTCTGTGTTTTTGTAAATATGTACATATATATGGGATACGTATGTACATATATATGGGATACGTATATGGGATATGGATGCATATGTAGGTAGTATAGATATACATATACACAGATACATATCTCCCACATGTATATCTCCTACATATATATCCCCTATATATGTACGTGTCATCTATTCTGTGTGCATATATATATGATATTACTATAGGAAATTGGTTTGCATGGTCTTGGAAGCTGAGAAGTCCCAATATCTGTAGTCCAAAGATCTGAGAACCAGGAAAGCCAATTAGTTTAAGTTCCTGTCCAAATGCAAAGGCAGGAGAGGACTGCTGTCCCAAATCAAAGACCGTGAGGCAGAGTGAATTTTCTTTTGTTCTATTCAGGATTCCAATGGTTTAGATGAGGCTTGCCGGCAGTGAGGAGGGCAATCTGCTTTACCCTTTCTACAATTTAAATGCTATTCTATCCAGAAACACCTTCACAGACACACCTAGAATAATATTACCAAATATCTGAGTATCCTTATCCCAGTCAAGATGACACATAAAAATAATCATGACACCTCTGTTCTTCTGTCTTCTCATCTAACAAACTGGGAAAAGGGACTTTTAAAAGAAAGGTAAGGTAATCAAAGACTTAATACATTCAATGAACTATGAAGTGTTTTCTTAGCATATAGTAAGCTCTCAATAAATATTAACTATTACTGTTATTATTATGTACCTCAGCTTTTTTGAGGAGTGTGAAAGTCAAAAAGCTTGAAATTGTTAATGTTTCCATCATTAAACAATTTATGTTGAGTTTAACTTAAATAAAAAATAGTTGGTGGCAGTAGGAACAAAAGGAAACTATGCAATCCATATCAAAATGGTGGTATCCCTATTATTGATAAAACATACTCTTCATACCAAAGGTCTTCATGATGTCACATCAACAAAATATAAATCACTTTATTGTACATTTCAACACTTTCAAGAACTAACCAAATCTGCAGCCTCTGCACTCAAATTTGACAAAGATCTTGCTAATGCGGATTGGAATATGGTTGAAAAGGCAATTATACTTCAAAACCCATATGCGGTAAGCAAGTCATACCTTTTGTTTACTCCTTCAAAGTAGATATCATTACCTTAAGTCTTAATTTTATTGTTACCTGTAATTGACAGGTTGTATTGGTAACCCACTGTCATAATAGTAAGAAGGGAATCTTAGTGTTGTAAATTCAGAAGAAGTAACAGTGCTTTGGAGCTCCCTAGGAAAGATGCCATAAAGGTGGAGAGTGAGCCAGAGAAAATGGCTAGTGTTCAGGTGCCCTTGTTCAGCATTTATTTAACATTTGTTTACACTACTATATATGTCAATTACTTGCTAGCCCTCATGATTAATATTATTTTTTGATATCAAATAGCATTCAAAGCCAGTATCATTAGGCTTTAGGTGTGGGTGAGATGTCACCTCCTGCTTCTGAGATAGGCTTTAGAATCTCTGTGGTCAGACTTCTTAATCATTGAAGGGTATGTAACTCCCCAGTCAGTCATGGTTGCCATAAGGAGAAATAATAAAAGTTGTTCTGGAATCTTCTCGGTGCTACTGCTGCTGCTTTGCTATCTCCTATGTTACATCCAGTTTTCAATGCATACTGTATGATGTAGTTGTTGCAGTGTTTTGATGAGTCTTACAATATGAGGAGCCAACTTCTAGGATTGTAGACATAAGATAATTGGTTTCTATAAAGTAGGATTCCGCAAAATCCATTTCATATCCACTAACCAGTGCTGGAAGCGCCCCCTAGGGACCAAGCCCTCTGCCTGTAGGAATACTGCCGGGATTTCTGGATATTACAAGTACCAAGTCAAATCCAATTATTTCTATAGTAGCTCCCAATTTCTGGTTGTGGACTTTTACTAATCTGATTGCATGAGACTCTTCTAAAAAGCTTATTAAAATACGGCTTTATTTCCCAGCCCCACTCAGGAGATTCTAATAATCCAGATGGTCTGAGGTGGGTTGCAGGAATATGTGTTTTCATTCCATTTACCCAGCTGCAAAGTGCAAAGTCAAGGCTGAGGCCCCCACTCTGATACTTGGTCTGTTTCAGAAAGCAGAGGATCAAACATGGGGGATATTATGGTGTTATGGATAGAGCACTGGCCTTGGACTCAGAAAATCTGGGTTCATAACTTGGCTTTCTCACTTAATAAATAGCTTTGTGATCTTGAGCAATTCTTCTATTTTCTCTGAGCTTCAGCTTTTCTCTGCTGTAAAATGAAGTTATCCATAATCCCCATCTCCCAATGCTAAGTTCATTTTCTACTCTACCTTAAGTGATTAGGTTAAGGCAGTAGATTGTCAAACTTTAGCAGCAGCAGGAATCACGGAATGCTTTGTAAAAACACAGATTACTGCCCTTTTCCCCAGACTTCCTGATTTAGCAGGTCTGCAATGGGGTCTGGGAATGTGCATTTCTAACAATTTCCACGTGATGCTGAGGCTGCTCAGAGTCCACACTTTCAGAACCATTGGTTTAAAATGGGATCATATATACGGTAGCTTTTATAAAATGTCAACAATGCCATGTAAATGTAAAAACAGGATATAACGTCTTTCCTCCAAAAGTGGCAATTATTTTACTTTCTAGATAACTGTGAAATGATGAGGAAACTCATCTGAACTCTTCTTCTATATTTAGCAGGTTTTCTATAATTTTTCGAACCAAATTTTTAGGTGAATTGTTTGAGGGTTATGCTAAACAATATCTTAATATTCATGTATTTGGGGTTTTTTGTTTTTATTTCTGTTTCACTTAGTTGAACCAAGGAGAACAAACAGAACATCAAAAGGTGACGTGTCTAAACTGTAACAAGGAGATAGACGAGACCCTTAACATTGAAGCAACGGAGCTGGCCAACAGGCGTCTCTTGTCGGCACAAATAGTTAGTACTTGATCATACACTTTCAAAATGATATTTGGGCCTAAAATTATCCTGAAAACTTTGTCCTTCGCTAAAGACATCTGTTTTTGTTTTGTTTTTTGTTTTTTTTTGTCTTGTTTTTTAAGCCATCTTGATTATGCTTACCTGCATAGCTTAAGAGATTGTTACAAAGGCAAAGGAAAGTTTGGCCCTATCTTAGGAATCCATTTGACTGCCAAAAGAAAGAAAAGGTAAATAGATCCATCCAAATTAGCCTAAGTAAAAGGTGATTTATTAAGAGGATTTGAGAATTTCACAGACCCCCAAGGGAGGAATTACAGGGGAACTGAATATTCAGGTGTGTTATGCAACCATTTCCACACCACACATCTCTGGCTCTATGCCAGTTTTTCAGGAACGATACCAATTCTGCTAATAGCTTTAGGTGGAGAGTAGTTTTCAGATCAAATCTTGGATAAAGGTTAGAGAAATTCGTGGCACAGCAGCATCCTAGACTCTGTGGAAAACTGCTAATAGGCTGGTTACCATTTACTATCCAGGTCAGGATCTTAACTCCTTGCCATGACTCACGCTCTCAAAATGTTCATGGTGGGCCTTCCTCACTGCCTATGGACTCTCATGCATGTCTCAGCTATTCCAGCCATACAGAATTCCAAGCATTCTACCTGTTCATTCTCACTTGGGAAATGGAAGGTCTATAGGGTACAATTGTTCTCTCTTTGGCATTAGTCCTAGCAGAGAGGTTGACTCTCAAAGGCAGCTTTTCCAAGGACCTAAATAATTTCTTTAAGCAACTGAGGCAGTGCCATGAAGAATGAACTTATGCCCATTTAGTGCTTTGCTCCACCAGCAGATTTTATATCATATCTTTGAGTCATCTCCAGATTTTTTATTTATTTCAGGAAAATACAGTATTCAAGAACCCTCCAAATCAATACAGGAGAATCCATTTTAAGTCTTGCTTTCATTAATCATGTGACTCAGAACTTATTCTTTTTAGTCTCTTTTCTCCCCATCTGTAAAATAGGAAAATGCTAACTGCAAGACCTCTAGATTTTTTTCCACTTTGGATATCCTATGTTTTCAGGAATATACATTCCATGTACTTTTTTTTATTTCTTGTCCTACATGTTCGTTTTCTACCATTATATCTTTGTTGATTTTGTGCTATGTATTGGGTCTTAACCAGGAAATCCTATTTTTTAAAGTAGGTAGGATCTTTCTGTTCTGTTCTCCAGCTCTTTATCTCATCTCACATCTTTTTTGCACTTCTTTGTTCTGGCTTATCTTCATGTTTACCTTGGTTTGTTAATTTGGTTTCCGCAATCTCAATTCTAATGCTCACTGTTCCAACCATCATATTAATCAGTCTATTACAATTTTCAAAGCTGTGAGAGCTTTTATTTAAATCTCAGCCAGTTATTATTAACCGGAGCAATACCCTCACTACTGTTGTACGTTAGAAGAGGAAGCACAGTATGATGAAACGGTGTGGTAAAGGAGAGGCAACATTCCCAACCATAAGGTGAAGGGGAGACAGGCTTTAAATTCAGAGAAAACTGAGTTTATAATGTGATCTTGGGAAAAACTCTTAATCCTCTGAGTCTCAGCTTTCTCATCTGTGAAATACAGATTAGAATATTTTCCCCATAAATTTCTTGCAAGAGTTAAATAATTCTATGCAAAATATATATAAATCAGTTAATTTCATAGTATGGTAGGTCACCCAATAAATGGCAGTTACTTTAAGGTATCAACCATTCTCTAAATTCTTCTTACATTTTGGTATGGATGATCAATTAAGAATTAACATTTTTCTAGGGGCACCTGGGTGGCTCAGTGAGTTAAGCCTCTGCCTTTGGCTCGGGTCATGATCTCAGGGTCCTGGGATCGGGCCCCGCATCGGGCTCTCTGCACAGCGAGGAGCCTGCTTTCCCCTCTCTCTCTGTCTGCCTCTCTGCCTACTTGTGATCTCTCTCTCTGTGTCAAATAAATAAAATCTTTAAAAAAAAAAAAAGAATCAACATTTTTCTAGAGTCTGTTTTGTCATTTGTGCTGCTAAGCTTTCATGAGTTCTACACTACTTTCAGCTTCCTTATTTTTCAACAGACTATGGTGTTTCCCTTCAAGGATATTGATAACATGTTAATCTCACATTATTTTATAAGTATTTTAACTAAGTTTAAGAAGAAGAACGTTACTCTGTTGAGTTCCTGTGTTACAGACAAATGACCTTTGTTACCTCATTCTTTTTTTTTCAAGATTTTATTTATTTATTTGATATAAAGAGAGATCACAAGTAGACAGAGAGGCAGGCAGAGAGAGAGGGCAAAGCAGGCTCCCTGCTAAGCAGAGAGCCCAATACAGGGCTTGATCCCAGGACCCTAAGATCATGACCCGAACCAAAGGCAGAGGCTTAACCCACTGAGCCACCCAGACACTCTTGTTGCCTCATTCTTAAACCTAGTTTTATTCTGGGACACCGGGGTGGCTCAATCAGTTAAGCCTGTGCCTTCAGCTAAAGTCATGATCCCAGAGTCCTGGGATGGAGTCCTACATCAGGCTCCCTGCTCAGTGGGGAGTCTGCTTCTCCCTGCCTCTGCCCCTCCCCACTGCTTATTCATTCTCTCTCTCTCTCTCTCTCTCTAATAAATAAATAAGATCTTTTTAAAATATTAGTTATATCCCATTCTGGTATCGCTCAAGAGCAAAACTGCATTTTAATATCCATAAATGATGGTGCAGATGTGTTCTATGGAAGCAAAAGTCTTTACTTATATCATACATTCCAATTCAGGAAGCTGGTCTGTGCAATGATTTTGGACAGTGGTCAGCACACTGCGGCCGGGCCAGTGTCGGACGGGGGTGCTCCTCCAGCATCAGAGTTAGTGCTGGAAGCAAAGTGGATTTCAGTATATGGACCAAGTGAACAAATGACTGCTTTCTGCACCACAGCAGCAGTCCATTTAATGCTGATAATAGACTAGAGAAAACAGAGTTGTGTTGTCAAAATATTTGCAAAAATGAAATCAAAGTTATAAAGCAGGGTTCCCCACAATAGCAGTTCTCAGAGTCTTTAATTTTCTAATGTGCATCATAAACTGTTAAGATGGGGATACACTCGCAGCAGCAAGTTCCCAAAGTTATTTGGCCACAGAATGCCACTTATTTTTGAAAGCCTAATTAACATCTAGGGGGAACCTAATTTCCTGCAGAACCAGTTTGGTTTTACCCAAAGCTCGGACGGGCCTTCCGCACTGATGGCAAGGTCTGGACTGCCTAGAAACGTTCTTTTTATAGAGATAGTAGATTATTTAGGGATTTTTTACTTCTTTCTCCCAGACTACCTTTCCATAAAGGAAACACTAAGTTATTGTTATTGTTATTGTCATTATTATTGTCATCCATGCTCTAGCATAATCTTCCCCTTTCTTTTAGGCGAGCTACCAGAGACAATACAGGAATGAGACTCTGTCCCAGAGTGCAGTCCAGGTGCTGGTCGGTGCCGCGGGAAGCTTTGGAGAGAAGAAGGGAGAGTAAGTACACTGGCAAGAGAAAGCTTCCATCCTAAGCCCCTGCATTTAGGAAATGGTGCAAGTGAGTTTGCTTTCGCTCTTTCTGGTAACCCGGGATCATCTGGTAACAACGTGTGCAAGCCACAGCCTGCTCTGCACCCCCAAATCAGGCCAAATCACTTCCTTTCGGTTTCCCAGCTTGCTCTCCTTATTCAGACTCCTGCAAATTTGAATGTGTTGCTGTTGCTAGCTGAGACGCTCTTCCCTTCCTCCTTTTGCCCCCAAAGCTGAGCTGTGGTAGAACACTCTTCCTTTTAGACTGCTTGAATGCCTCACTAAGTTCAAAGACTCCGTTAATTCCTCCAAACACATCAGTGCATATTCTCTCTTAATACCCAGCATAGTTTTGTAATAGCTTCTTTTGCTGTAAGCCTCTGTACTACATGGCAAGTTCCTTGAAATCCACGTGTTAGCCTCAGATCCCCATGGAAGGATGAAGGGTATATGATGGGGCTAAGAGGAGAGTTAAACTGCCCTGCAGTTAACAACGATGTTCCCCCAAAGCCCGGACATAACTTCTTCTTCTAAACCACACTCCTTGGTCCCCTGGGTGGCTCAGTTGGTTAAGTATCTGCCTTCAGCTCAGGTCATGGTTCCTCGGTCCTGGGATGGAGCCCACATCAGGGTCCCCACTCAGCAGGGACTCTGCTTCTCCCTCTGCCTGCTGCTCACCCTGCTTGTGCTTTCTCTGTCTCTCTGTCTCTCTGTCTCTCTCTCGTGTGCGCACACACACTCTGGCAAATAAATAAAATCTTTAAAAAATAAAAATAAAATAGGGATGCCTGGGTGGCTCAGTCGGTTAAGCTGCTGCCTTTGGCTCAGGTCGTGATCCCAGGGTCCTGGGATCGAGTCCTGCATCAGGCTCCTTGCTCAGCAGGGAGCCTGCTTCTCTCTCTGCCTCTGCCTGCCTCTCTGCCTGTTTGTGTGCTCTCTCTCTCTCTGACAAACAAATAAATAAATAAAATCTTTAAAAAGAAAAATAAAAAATAAAATAAAATAAACCACACTCCTAGCATTGAAGACACCAAAATTCCCTGCTCGAATGGTCCCAAAGCTCACTCATCAGGTCTTCTTGGGCCTTTCCCCCGGGCCGTTATCTCAAGGGCAGACGGGGCCTTTGGTGTGTCTACGCTGAAAGCTAAGAGCAGCATCAGGCCGGTGTCCACTCCCCAGCTCTGGCTTGTAGCACAGAGAGCGATAAAGCCCTGTGTGGGAAGGGAAGCAGCTGGACGCCAGAGCGCAGTCTCATTAAAGTTGGGAGTACAGATTTCAAAGAGTGAAAGATATTGCATTTCAAGCCTAGCCATACAAATCCTTATGACATACTTGTCAAGGAAGTAAGATAAAATACATCTGGCTTAAGATTTCGTTTTCTTGATGAATGAGTTATAAGGACAAGGGCCTCCATTTGCCCCTCACTCTAGGCCATTCAGATGCTTACAGGAAGGAGACGGGGACGGAGGGCTGGCCAAATGTGAACACTTAGAAACAGTGTGACGCACACTTTAAAGAAGACAGACGCACAGTGGACAGCAAAAGTTTTTTAAATGGATGAATAAATAACATGCTGAAAGCATTATCACTGCATTGTTCAGGAGAAGTTAATATTAAAAAAAAAAAAAAGCAGTATAGAGCAAGTCAACCCATTGCCTTGATTTTTCCTCTTTAACTCCTCCAGGAAGGCAGAAGTAATGTATGCCTAGGAAGACCCAGAACAAGGAGGTCAACACTGGGGAGAAGGGAGTTAAAGGGTTGAAAGGATTCCTAGTGGACAACAAAGGCACATTTTAGAATGTATTATATTTTAGTGATTCATAAATGAGATAAATATTATATACTAATATGTGCAAAGGTATATGGCAGGCACTGTGGGGAGTATCAACATTAGTGGAATGGTGGTCCAATCTCCAGAGAAGTAACTCTTAATTACACTTAGAGTCAGTACTTGCCTTGCAGTTGACTTTGCCATTTGCTGCTCATTCCAGCAACGCCCCATGCGTTGGTGTGTCCTGTGGCAAGAAAACAAGTCTAAGGAGAGAAAGAATTAGGGGATTTAAACAGGGGCACCAGGACCTGTGATAACTGCCTGTGTAATTGCCTGAGAAAGAATAATTCTTTGAATAGAGAGCTTATATTTATTAAGTACTGTGCCAAGCACAGTTTTAAACACGTTGCATGTATTACCAATCTAAAGTTATAAAAATCCTGTGAGATAAGTGTTAGTATTATCTTCATTTTGCTGATGAAAGGTGAGGAGAAAAGAGATGAAACGATTTACCCACGGCCGCTTGACTGATAATTACGGAGCTCGCCTTCGAAGCTTCAGCTGCCTCACTATCCAATTAAAGAGATCACAGCCATCTTCCTAAAAAAGCAAGGAATGTGATGACAAAAGATAGGAATTCAGGAGCCTGAATTGCTCATACCACAGAATTTTAGGATTTATAGAAACTTAAGAAATGACCAGATCTTAGTTGAGACATTAATTCCTTCAAGAAGGTTTCCTGATTCCCCAACACTAAATACCAGTCCCCCACTTGATGGATTCAGACTGCCTTATTGTTTATGATCTCCACAGCAACACCCACTACAATTTAATGCAATTGTTTTTTGCCTGTTTCGTTCCTCTAGTCTGCTGGATCCTTAAGAACAGAGATCTGTTTTTGTTTATGGCTTCTCTCCAGCTTTTAGGAAGAATAATACATTCAATAAATATTTTTAAAATTAGGAACGATTCAAGCACTATATACATTTGTGATTTTCCATGTGGTTACCATATCATTCATTCTATTGAGTCACAGAGAATTGAATGACTTCCTTCTTTTCAATTACATCTGTATTCCCATAGCAGAGAAATTGTTCAAATTTCAGAGTAAGAACAGTATAGTCAATAGGAAGAACAAGGTCCACCTTTGAATTTAAGTCACCAATACCCTTCCATTAAGCCATATTTTAAAGTAAGGCCTCAGACCCAAGGACAAAGCCCTATCACCCTTCTGATGAAAATAACAAAAACCAAGGTATTTCGCTAAACAAGACCAAATCATAGCACATAGATATGAGCTACCTTGTTAAAAAAAAGTCAGCAGAAACCTAGAGATAGTGCGATATGTGCTACCAAACTGTCTTTGGGGTTTTAGGACCACTGACTTCTCCAAGTAATCATTAACTCTTTACTCACCACTTGTATTTTCTCCATTAATTCCCCTAACTACCTGTCCAGAAGTTGAAATCAATCAAAGAGGTAAGAGGATATATGAGATGAGTTGGATGCCTCAAATATACTTTCTTATTGAATTATCCCCAACTGGCATGGATACTTTCATGTCTATTTTGTAGAGCAAACATTTTAATGAGGTAATTTGTTCACTGCCTCATGAGATAATGGGGGCTCCATCATGAAAACTGGATCTATTTGAATTACGTTATTCTTTTCCTCCCTGAAATTTGACGTCTCTATTTTAAACCATGTATTTCTCTTTAATGAGTGAGCCCCAGAATCTAAATTCATAATTATATATGTACTTGTATCTACAACTTTGTGACTTGGACCTATGCTCATGAAAGTGTCCTCTTTCTAGTTATCAATGGACAAAATCATCTACTTGCTTTCTGACATTACTGTATTAAACCTAGTCCCCAAATTTTAAAGCAGGTTTAGTGATTACTTCTTTTTTTCCCCCAGATATATGAGTCCTGAGACAATAAAGAATTATTCTGAAAGCAAAAAACTTCTTGCCTTTATTAGAAAAGTATTGCTCAATTGGGTGTATAACACTAAAAAGGAAAAAGGGATCCCATCAAGGTAAGCGATTTTGAACCTTACTAGAACTCTTATTATACTGACCTTAAATTCCCTTTCTACTTTTTAAATTTATATCCTGGGAGCTCCTGGATGGCTCAGTTGATAAAGCATTTGACTCTAGATCTCAGGGTTGTATGTTGAAGCCCCACAGAAAATTTAAGAAACAAATTCATATCCTATACCAAGATGAACAATTTTTAAGTTATCATTCCATTTTTAAGTTATCATTCCATGTTATTTAGTACATTCACAATGTTGGGCAAACGTCATCTCTGTCGAAATCCAAAACATTTTTATTGTCTCCAATATAAATCCAGCACTCATTAAGCAGTCACTCCCCATTCCCCCTGCTCTCCCCAGCTGCTACATCGCACTAGTCTGCTTTGTCTCTATGAATTTACATGTTCTGAATGTTTCATATAACTATATATATATATGAGTATAGATTCATATAACTAGAATCATCCAACACATAGTCTTTTGTTTCTGGCTTCTTTCACTCCCCATAATGTTTTCATCCACATGGTAGAATGTATCAGTAACGTAAGTTTCACCCACTTTGTAGCATGTATCAAGACTTTATTCCTTCTTACGGCTGAATAATAGTTCATTGTACAGATACATCATATGTTGTTTACCCATTCATCAGCTGATGGACATTTGGGTTGTTTTCACCTTTTGGCTACTGAGAACAGTGCTGTTAAGAACATTTATGTAAAAGTATTTGAATACCTGCTTTCCACTTTTCGGGTATGCACCAGAGTAAAATTGTTGGATCATAAGATAACTTTATGTTTAACTTATCCCAAGGAACCACCAAATTGTTTTCCACAGCTGTTAGATAATTTTGAAATCAGGAAATATAAGTTTATCAACTTTCTTTTTCAAGATTGGTGTAACAATGTGGGTAATTCCATATAAATGTAATTCCATATAAATTTTAGGATTTTCTTAATTTTGCAAAAAAAAATGCCATTGAGTCTTTCATGGGGATTACATTGAATCTGTAGTATTGTCATCCTTATAATATTAAGCTTTCCAATTCATGAACATGAGGTGACTTTTCCTTTACTTAGATCTTCTTTTATTTCTTTCAGGAATGTCTTGTAGTTCTTAGCATAGAAGTCTTTGATTAAAGTTAATCCTATTCTTTCCTTTCTTTTTAAGATTTTTATTTATTTATTTGACAGAGAGATAGAGAACACAAGTAGACAGAGCAGCAAGCAGAGGGAGAGGGAGAAGCAGGCTCTCCCCAGAGCAGGGAGCCTGATGCGGGATTCAATCCCAGGACCTTGGGATCATGATCTGAGTGGAAGGCAGTTGCTTAACCAACTGAGCCACACAGGAATCACTTTTTTTGCTTTTTTAATGCTATTGTAAATGACACTGTTTTCTTGATTTCATTTTAAGATTGTTCATTCCTAGTGTATGATTTCTATATATTGACTTTGTATTCTGTGAAGCTTTGCTGAATTCATTGATTAGCTCTCCTGTTTTTTGTGAATTTGCTGAGATTCTCTCTGTAGAAAATCATGTCATCTATGAATAGAGATAATTTTACTTGCTTCTTTCCAATTTGGATGCCTATTGTTTCTTTTCTTAGATTCAAGAGGAGGAAATATAGACCACTCTTCTCAATAAAAGTATTAAAGATTATGTAGCATCTTTAATCTACCACACTCAATAAATACAAGAAAGGTGTTATCATATTATAGGGTTTTTTAAAGCCTTCAATACTGACTAAAGCTACAACTTTTTAAGTAATTCTTTTTGTTGATGTAACTTAATGAAAGGGAGATTTTAAAAACTCCCCATAAGCTATCTCTGAATATCACTCATCTCAAAGTGAGTAGTGCAGATCCTGGTGCCATATGGCTTGGTTTAGAATCTCAGTCTCTGTCATTTATTATCTGAATGAGCGTTTCAGTCCTCAGTCTGAGATATATATATATATATATATATATATATATATATATATGACCTGTGACAAAGTAACTGACACATAATGGGCACCAAAATATGCGAGTTGGGTTCTCCTCTGTTTCCTCATGGAACTGTGGGAAAGAATACATGAATAGTATGTGTAGAAGCACCTAGGCCAGGGACTAGCACTGAGTAAGCACTTAACAAATGTGAGCATTTATTACTAAGTGCCGAATTCCAATAATATAAGTATTACTGAAATGTTGAAATTAAGAAGTGACAGAATCACAAACAGGAACAAGTCCAGTCACCAAAAGAAACTGAATAGGAAATTCTTAAATTCACATAATTCTTAAAACTAAAAATTTAACTTAAATTATTCATAACTAAATAACTCAATAAATAGTATATCTATTTTGAGGGGATACAGCTAGAGCTACAGAAAGAAGAATAAATACCTAGCATTAATAGGGTTTCCATATCAGGGTCAGGGGTCTGAAAGAAAAAGATCAGGAGCCTGAGATCTAAAGTGGTAACACTTGGGTGGATAAATCTGAAGATCTTGGACCCTCACATTTCCCATGAATACTGTAGCCTGGCAGAAAGCAGCCACCTCTTTCTTGCTAGAGGATAATAGCCTCCTATCCGCTTCAGATGGGTGGATAAATCTGAAGATCTTGAACCCTCACATTTCCCATGAATACTGTAGCCTGGCAGAAGGCAGCCACCTCTTTCTTGCTAGAGGATAAGAGCCTCCTATCCCCTTCAGATGCTACAAAGACATCACAAGATAAAGTTATTCTCTACCACCTCTCACTATTTCCAAGGTAATTACCTATATCAGATCTCAACACAGCTAGAGGAGGAAATACAGTGCTTACTTTAGGAGACTACAATTTATCTACTGAGGGAATAACATAAATTCCCTAATTACATAAGTTACATAAATTCTGGACCTGAGTAATACAAGCAAATACTGGTAGACATATAATGGAATGGATCTTGAGGGTACTGGGCAAGAGGGTTACAACATAAGGCCAGATTAGGGAGAATTTATTGGCATGATGGTCTTATCCAGGATTCGAGGTTCAACATTCTGTTAAGGACACTTGGAACCAGTACAGTTAATCTCTTGGGATTGTTCTTTGAAGCTTGACCAGGCCAATAACCCACAATAAGTGAAGTATGGATGATAAAAACTGGAATATTTACCAAAATTATTATAAGAGAATGAAGGACCCATCACTTTGCCCCCCTGGGAAGGACAAGAGGATGTTTACTTTCACAAGGCAACACTGAGAAACTCGGTGATAGATGCCCCCGGCAAGACATGGTTGACAGTAGTTGAGGTTGCCAGGGAACTAGTCTTACTAGTATCGAAAGGATTTAGGAATGGCAGAAGACAGATGGCAGCACTCAAATGTCAAAAGCAAGGTGGGAATACTTTATTTTGTGAACAGCAAACCTGGAATAGCAGTCAGAGTACCTTGGCCTGGGTATGGGTAAGATAATTTGTGTCAAATGACAATGTAGACAAATAGTTAACTACATTTTATTTGACTTTTCGAAAAATAGAGAACTGGTCAGCAAAGGGATGAGGTCAACTACTGCAAAGGAAGATCATGATTCCCCACCCTTTCCTTATATCTAAGTCAGTTCTCAGAACCAGAGCCTTTGGGAAAGGTCTACAATAACACCACAAACACATAGGATAAATATTCCCTCAATCTTTTCTCAGATGGACCTTTAGTCACTTTACTAAAAAAGTTAATTTTAAGTGGGAAAAAAGAGAATACTAAGACTTTTAAAAAGACTTTGGGGGGAATATAAATAAGCAAACAAACAAACAAAAGACCGGAGGCTTGAAATGCTATCACAGTTCTCAAATTAGAGAGGAAGCTTTTAGGTTAAGTCTCTGACCCAGTCTGCTTCATAATAATCCAGCAAGTCCACTGTGTGGTTATTTCTCTAAATCTCCAAGTGTATACATGGTATGAATATAGTCAGTGTGTAGCTGAACATTCACATTGTCTTGCTGACCTATAGAATAAGAATTATTATGGCAGGAAGGTCCAAGTGACCATGTGGAACCCTGGCCAAAATAGTCATAAGAAGTAATACAGTATTCCAGGCATAAAGAAATTAACACCAAACTTAAAGATTTAAAGGAATTGAGAATAATCCCCACCATATCCCTTTCAATTCATCTATCTGGCATAAACAAGTCAAATTACAGTCACTTATAAATTTAAGCAAAAGGTAACATCAACTTTATCCATTCATCTGTTGAAGGGCATCTTGGCTCTTTCCACGTTTTGGCTATTGTGGACATTGCTGCTAGGAACACTGAGGTGCATATGGCCCTTCTTTTCACTGCATCTGCATCTTTGGGGTAAAAATCATGGAACACTACATCAAAAACTAATGATGTACTGTATGGTGACTAACATAATACAATTTTTAAAAAGTCAAAAAAAAAAAAAAGAAATGTATAAATAAATAAATAAATGTCTGGTAGGAAAGAAAAAGGTAACATCAAGTGCAATGCTGTGCCAGATAGGACTTTATTGCTGAAAGAAATCAGGAAAAGCAGTCTGTATTCTAGGTTAAGATAGTGACATAGGAGGCCCCTGAACTTAACTCCTCTCATCAACATACCAAATCCACAGCCACATATGGACCACTTCCCTCTCAAAAAAAGCCAGAAAGTAGCTGAGTGATTCTTACACATCAGGATAATGAGAAAATACCTACACTGAAATAGGTAGTAAAAGCTGAGACACACTCTCAGCATAAAACTAACCCTCTGGCATTGAGGCATACGATCAGACGGGAACTCATGGTTCCCAGCTTCTCCATGAGAAGTAAAGGGTTTGGACCCAACATCTAGTGCCCCAACTTTTGAGACTTCCACTTGAGAGATGGGCCCCCAAAACATCTGCTCTGAGAAATAACTGGGCTTATGTCCACAAGATCCAGACTAGAATAGACAATGAAACAGTTCTTAATGAGGTTACAAGGACAGTGTCTCCTGGAAATGAACTTGTGCAAGATTTTGGCACCCTGGCTTTTGTGGTTGCCATCCAGAGGACACCCCCCTATTAGTAATAGAAAAACATATGAAAGTATAAATCTCACTGGTAAAGATAAATATATGATAAAATTCAGACCACTCTAATATTGTAACAATGGTGGATAAATCACATAAAAATCTAGCATAAAGGTTAAAAGTCAAAAGTATTAAAAAAAACAAATATAGCTACAATAATGGATACACAAGACAAAAAGGGGTAAATATAAATTATGACTGTCAACAAACTGGGTAATGACGTGGTATACCTCAACAAAGGCCGTAGTTGACAATCACACAGCTAACATCATATTCAACAGTGGAAAGGTGAAGGCTGAAAGCTTTTTCTCTAAGATCAGGAGCTAGATAAGGAGGCCCACTCTCATCACTTTTATTAAATTTAGTATTGGAAGTTCTAGCCAGAGTAATTAGGCAAGAAAAAAAAGTCATCCAAATCAGAAAGAAATGAGTAAAACTGACATCTTTTGCAGATGTCATGATATATACAGAAAACCCTAAGAACTCCACAAAAAAAAAAAAAAAATGTTAGAACTAATAAACAAATTCAGTAAAGTTACAGCATGCCAAATCAATATATATAAATATCAGTAGCATTTCTATACACTAATAACAAAAAGGAATTAAGAAAATCCCATTTATAACTGTATTAAAATGAATAAAATACTTAGGAGTAAATTTAACCAAGGAGGCAAAAGACCTGTACACTGATTACTATAAGACATTGATGAAAGAAATTAAAGAAGATACAAATAAATGGAAAGATATCTTATGCTCATGAATTGGAAGAATTAATCTTGTTAAGATGGCCATACTACTCAAAACAATCTATAGATTCAATGTAATCCTTACCAAAATTCCAATTAACATTTTTTACAAAAGTTTCAAAAAATCCTAATATTTGTATGGAATCACAAAAGATCCTAAATCGCCAAAACGATCTTGAGGGGAAAAAAAAAAGAATAAAATTGGAGGTATCACAATTCTTGATTTTAAACTATATTAAAAAGCCGTAGGGATGCCTGGGTGGCTCAGTTGGTTAAGCCTCTGCCTTCGGCTCAGGTCATGATCCCAGCATATTGGGATCTAGTCCCACTTCAGGCTCCTTGCTTGTCAGGGAGCTTGCTTCTCCCTCTGCCTCTGCCTGCTACTCTGTCTGCCTGTGCTTGCTCTCTCTCTGACAAATAAATAAATAAAATCTTCTAAAAATAAATAAATAATTTTAAAAAATTTTTAAACTGTAATAAACAAATAGTATGGTATTGGCGTAAAAACAGACACATAGATCAATGGGACAGAATAGAGAGCCCAAGAATAAACCTATGAGTATATAATCAATTAATTTATGACAAAGGAGCTAATGATATACAGTGGGTAAATGATGTTGAGAAACCTGAACAGCCACATGCAAAATAATGAAACTAGATCACTATCTTACATCATAAACAAAAATCAATTTGAAATGGAGTAAAGTAAGACCTGAAACCGTAAAACCCACAGAAGAAAACATGGGGGATGAACTCCATGATAGCGTTCTTGCGATTCCATATTGAGTGAAATCATATGGCATTTCTCTTTCTCTGACTGACTTATTTTGCTTAGCATAATACACTCTAGCTCCATCCATGTCATTGCAAATGGCAAAATTTCATTCTTTTTTATGGCTGAGTAATATTCCATGATTTCCATGATTGTGTGTGTGTGTGTGAATACACACGTACCACATCTTCTTTATCAGCTAAGGGACATTTGGGCTTATTTCATAGTTTGGCTATTGTTGATAATGGTGTTACAAACATTGGTGTGGATATGTCCCTTCAAATCTCTATTTTTGTATCTTTTGGGAAAGTTTCTAGTAGTGCAATTGCTGGATGATAGGGTAGTTTAATTTTTAACTTTCTGAGGAAACTCCTTACTGTTTTAGAGTGGCTACACCAGTTTGCATTTCCATCAACAGTTTAAGAGGCTTCTCCTTTCTCCAAATCCTGCATCCTTGCCAATTTCTATTGTTTCCTGAGTTGTTAGTTTTAGCCATTCTGACCATTATGAGATATATCTTATTGTGGTTTTGATTTGTATTTCCCTGATGATGAGTGATGTTAAGCATCTTTTCGTATGTCTGTTAGCCATCTGATATCTTCTTTGAAAAAATATCTTTTCATATCTTCTGCCCATTTCTTTTTTTTAATGTGTATGTGATCAATTTTTTAATTTAATTTTATTTTTTCAGTGTTCCAAGATTCATTGTTTATGCACCACACCCAGTGCTCCATGCAGTATGTGCCCTCCTTAATACCCACTACCAGGCCCACCCATCCTCCCACTCCCCTCCCCTCCAAAACCCTCAGTTTGTTTCTCAGAGTCCACAGTTTCTCATATTTCACCTCCCCCTCCAATTTACCCAATTCACTTTTCCTTTCCTTCTCCTCATGTCCTCCATGTTATTCCTTATGCTCCACAAGTAAGTGAAACCATATGATAATTGACTCTCTCTGCTTGACTTATTTCATTCAGTATAATCCCCTCCAGTCCTGTCCACATTGGTACAAAAGTTGGATATTCTGCCATTTCTTAACTGGATTATTAATTTTTGGGGTGTTGAGTTTGAAAAGATCTTTATAGATTTTGGATATTAACCCTTCAACAGATATGTCATTTGCAAATGACATAGCTCCCATTTTGTAGGCTGCCTTTTAGTTTTATTGACTGTTTCCTCTGCTGTGCAGAATTTTTATCATAATGAATTACCAGTAGTTCATTTTTGCTTTTGTTCCCTTGCCTCCAGAGATGTGTCTGCAGCCCAGGTCTCAGAAGTTGCTGCCTAAGTTCTCCTCTAGGATTTTGATGATTTCCTGTCTCACATTTAGGAGTTTCATTGATTTGACTTAATATTTGATTTAAATATTTTGATAAATACATTTTGATAAAATGTGGATTCATACTGTTTCATTACCACACATCCTGGGACTTTTATTTTTTTACAGATTTTATGCCTCAACAAGGAAAGATGCTCATGATACATTGTTAAGAAAAAGAAAAAAGTTTAGAATGATATGTATGATAAAATTTTTGTGTTTACAGATAATGATTACATAAAAAAATGATTGGACTAATATTTAAACTGTTACTAGTAATCATGTCTGGCAGGTGGAAGGAATTCCCTTTGTTTATTATTATTTTTTAATATTTCTAATTTGAATTATTCCCATCTCCTGACCAAAGTATTTCTATTAAAACTAAAAATGGATGAGAGTTGAGGAAGATGGGGGAAAAAAGAGGTGAAACAAGCCTCAAGACATCTAGCAGAGGAGGAAATTAAAAGGACAATATCTGAAGGGAGATGCCAGAAAGTGTTAGGTAGTGATTGCTCCTACCCAGAACTAAGCTGGGCTGTGTACTATAGATGATTAGAACAGAACTGAATATATAATGAAAGTCACTCAGTGTAATTATTTTATTAGATAAAACTCTTTTTTTTTGTAGACATTGCATTCTTCGTTTATGCCATAAAATTGTATTTACGGATGAATTTGAGTATATTGGATATCTTGTGATACTAATGAATATGTTTCCTATTATAATTTCTTGGATACCTAACTTAAGTGATATCTATGACCATGAATTAAGATACTCTAACTACTCTTTTCTTGCATTTTATATCGTGGAGTCCCTATTTAAGGTAATCCAAAATTGTGGTGTATGTGTATCTGTGTATGTGTGAATATGTTATATGTTTCACAGAGAGATTTTGTAACTTCATTTTCCAACACTAACTACACACAATTTTCTAAAGGAGTGTATGAAATTCTTTTTCACTTCCCAAACTTTAATTTTTAAAGGTAAATTTTTAAGGAAACTCAATAGAAAACATCCATACTTTAAGAACTGATTTTGTATTTGTAAACATAAATTTTAAAATGGTGTGTGTCAAAGGGAGTTTCAAAGGTATTGACAGTGTTCATAAATTTAGCAGGATAGTGTTCATTTTAATTTTTTTTAATACTAGATAGAGATAGGTAGAGTGATAGATACCCCTTCATGCCTGAAAAACATTCATGATTTGATTTTTAAATCTAATATAAAGGTAGTTGTAAAATGAAGAAAGGGTCAACAAATTGATAATAGTATTGATAATAGCATTGTGTTATATAGACCAAAAAGTGAAGACTGAGAATATGAGTATATAACATGATGGACAAAAACAAGGGAAAAGCTAGAAGCAAAACCATTGCATGCACAAGGGACATCACTCCCAGTGACTGGAGCTTGGGATGGATTGGTCAGCATGGATATTAGAGAGATGTTAGATTTGTGTGGAGGGTATGGAAAACGAGACATGGACATAAAGAATAAAGAGCTTCATAGGCCATGCTATCTCTTTCACTTCTGGCATCATCTGGCATCATCTACCATTTATAGTCTAATAACTTCCAAATTCACATTCCCAGCTCAGATCTTACCAAGAACCTCAGATCATATAGAAACTGATGACTGGATCTCTCCAACAAAATGCTATACAAACATCTCAAACAGCATATTCTAAAAAATTTATCTTCTCTAAACCTATTTTTCTTTCAGAATTCCACTGAAAACCCAATTTCCCAGACTAGCATCCACAATCATCTTTAATACTTCCCACTCCCTTAGCTATGCTTTAATATTTCAACCATTTGAATTTTAAATTAATATGCTTCCTTACTAGTATTTCAGACAAGTAATCTTAAGGTACATCAGAAAAGAATCTAACTAGTGATGTTTCAGTTATTGTGGAAAATGTTACAGTAAAAGCAAAAACAAGATAATGTATTTTTTTTAATCAACAGATGGCTGCAATGAGGAAAGAATATTTTTTACAGGCCTGGAACCTATTTGAGTTAGTGATTACATCAGTTGGCATCATAGATATAATTCTTATTGAGACAAATTCTATTACTTATACTCTTGATCTTATTCTAACAGTAATCTTTATAAAAATTGTTCGATTTCTTCGCTTACTACGTATTTTGAAGGTAAAGAACTATTAAATCATTCAATTTCAAATTTCTACTGACTGCTTCATGAAATATGGACTAAGATCAGTTTAGTAGTTTTATGATTTCCACTTTTTATTGAGATGATGTTTATATTTTAAATTTCATAACCCTTCTACAAATTAAATTTTATAACATTATTTTATGAATATCCAAATTGTATGTGCAATTTATTTAGTACATGAAAGTATAGAAATACTCAGTATAGCTTTTTCTTTGAATAGAGAGCACATAAAAAATTCCATAGTAATTTAAGTATAAATTAAGCCCAAAGTAATGTTAGTTCGTTAGTTAGTTCCTGGTATAAAACCTGGAAATCAACAAAACAACCATGCACACCATTCATAATGACAAAGCAAATAGTATAAATTCATACGTATTAAGAATCCAAAAATTATGCATTTCATGTTTCATAAATTCATAGTGACATAAAATCACAGCATCAAAAATAACCTTATTTGTCTAATCATCTTTCTATAACAAGCATGATATTCTTTATTATCTATACAGTTATTTCAATGACATGGGACTCACTCCATCACAAGGCATGTGAAGTATATATATGGAACAGGTGTACATCCCCTCTCTCTCACTGGCTCGCTCTATTCATACAGAAACAAGACACATGCACATTTAAGCACTGTGAGAGGTACAAACCTAAGTGAGACACGGTTCATCTAGAGATAAAACTAGCAGATTAGAATCTGTACATTTAGAGCTTTCTTACATATGCTTAAAAAATACTTTTGCTAAGGTCTAAAAGGATGCAACTAGTAGCTTTTCCCATTTTAGTGTTAAATAAGACTGCAAGTAATGCTAGTGTGCAATTTGACCTAAGGAAGATAAGCAAAGCGTATTCCAAGGACTAGTTAATTCTTTCTGATTGGAGGATATACAGGGTCTACCAAATATTTTAAGTAAAGAAACTGGTAAACCACCTAAGGAAATTTTGTTTAGGTATTCAGGAAATTCTGAACCCTTAATTTATGTCAAATGGTAGGCCCTGGAACATGAAGACAAATTAGATACACTCTAGAGAACTTGTAGAAGGAAAATGACGTATCATCTAGATGTTCCAATGTTACATTGTAAGGTAAGTGCAAAACAGAGTATATACAAAATGCTAACGAGATTTTTAAAAAAGATGTCTTTTATTAGGTGATGCTTAAACTGAATCTTGAAGGATGAGCATAAATTAGTGCTTTGAGGATTAATGGCAGTTGGTCGGAGGGGAGAGTAGAAGTAGAAGTAGAAGTAGAAGTAGAAGAAGATTATGGAGCATAGATGGGAAAACATGGGAAACAGCCAACTCTGGGGAAGTTAAAGGACTGCAGAGTGGTAACAGATAATCTAGAAAGTTAAACCTCAGCAAAGAAACAATGAGAAATAAATAGTGGGGTCAAACAAGAAGTATAGTTGTGGTGGATTCTAACTCCCAAATAAACCTTCTGATAAGAAGGTTAGTAGAAGATTTCACAGGTAAAAGTGGAAGTACTTAATACACATTTATGACAAGCCCAGAAGATTAATTGCATTGTTGTCCAAGAATTTAAAGCAGTTGAAAGTAGTATTCAATGCCCTATAGGGGACATAAGTAAAGAGTAAATTCATAACTTCACATAGGTGTCCAGCATTATTAATTATAGGGAAATCACTCTGGTCATGAAGTTATAAAAGTACCATGAATAAAATAACCTTGACAGGTTACTATAGTTACTGTTGAAAACATGTTATTTCTTAATATTATCTACTTTAGTTAAACTAATCAATATATAACCAACTAAATGTGTACAATTTATAGTAAATGGTAGTTCCATTTTTTTCCAGCTCATAACCCCAAAGTTGCTGCAAATAATAGATCAAAAGATGAGTCACCAGCTGTCCTTGAAATATGCTATACTAAAAGGATATGTCCAAGGTGAAGAAGATATAATGACTATAATTGATCAGATTTCAAGTTCTAAGCAGGTTAGACAGGTGAGAAAAACTTTCATTAGTAAGGTAAGGGTTTATTCCTCCAATCTCTCAGTTGCCCCCACCCATTATGTCCTCTGTCTGTATATGTAGATGTGGTCTTTGACACAATTTGCTAAGTAATTTCTGTAAAAACTTAAACTAGTCTACATATGTATTATTCAGAAGCTGAATATATCTGTTACTGAATTGTCTGTGTCACAGTAGCAAATCACGAGGCTTTTGCAAGCCACATTTTGGGGCACATGAAACATATGTGCGGTGGTCATCAGCTCCCTCCTGATGCAAATTCCACAATGGGACGCCTGGGTGGCTCAGTTGGTTAAGCAGCTGCCTTCGGCTCAGGTCATGATCCCGGCGTCCTGGGATCGAGTCCCACATTGGGCTCCTTGCTCATCAGGGAGCCTGCTTCTCCCTCTGCCTCTGCCTGCCATTCTGTCTGCCTGTGCTTGCTCTCTCTCCCTCTCTCTCTCTGACAAATAAATAAATAAAAATCTTTAAAAAAAAAAAAAACTTAAACTAGTCTACATATGTATTATTCAGAAGCTGAATATATCTTTTACTGAATTGTCTGTGTCACAGTAGCAAATCACGAGGCTTTTGCAAGCCACCTTTTGGGGCACATGAAACATATGTGCGGTGGTCATCAGCTCCCTCCTGATGCAAATTCCACAATCTGTCAACAACAGGTGCACTAAATAGGAAATATTGGAAGATGAGATGTAATGGTAATGTTAAGCAAAGGGAGACTCCTCATAATTCCCAAAGGCTCCCTTCCTCTCTCCCTGCCTGATTTTCCCACAGTAAAAGAAGCAAATGAAGGGGATCTGCCAAATGAAAAAAGTAAGAATAGCTCATCTAGAAGGAAATCTTGTTTAATTTCTTCATTACACAGAAAAAGAACAACAACAACAAAAAAAGCCAAGAGAGGTTGAATGATTATGCTCAGTCACATGGCTAATAAACAGCATAGAGAATTCTAGGGCTTAAGTTCTGGATTTTCACTTTTTTGACTGAGGTGGTTGTTCTCACAAGTTTGTCAACTATGTGAAATACTTACCTTTCAAGGCAATGTGGAACATGTGAATGTCAAGTAATATACCCAAAGCTCTATAGTTGAGAAAATTGAACATGTGTTATGTAGTAGAACACAAAAAGCAGTATCTTTCCTTTCTTCGCCACCTGTAAATTTTAAAACTCTTTTCCTAAATTTTGTTACCTGTTCTTACCTGGAAACAGATATTTAGCACTGGAATTTGAGGATACACAGTAGGAAAAACAAGAGGAACTGAATCCCTGAGATGTCCAGCTTTAGTGTTCATTTTTGTTCTAACACAGTTCGGCCAAACCTTCTACCTCGTTTAAGATTGAAAGCTTTCCCTGTGGCCCCAAAGTTGAAGAGAGGAAAGCATCAACCGTGCTTGTGTTTTTCAGAATCAATAGTACCCTAAAACAGGTTACTTTAAGGAAAAAGAAAAAAATATGACTTGCCTTTGGGGTTCTCAAAATCAACCTGGTAATGCCACTTTTTATTCTCTTCACCAACTTGCTGGAGAAACATAAAATTTATTGCACAAAATTGAATTCTAATCCCTGAAAATTTCCCCATCACATGTTTTCTTTAAAGTTATTAGTTAAGTTAAAAAAAATTCATCAGTTGCAAATGTAAAGATATTTTATAACAGCTTGTTCTCCAGGGAGATAAATCTTCTTTTATTTTGTAGATGTTGTTAAGGAGGATAATGAAGAATACAGGACATGCTATGAAAGAGCTGGGTATGTACACTTCACCCTAAAGATTAAGCACAAACATCCCTTATTATCACTACTTCAGAGAGGCAATTATTTTGGTAACTAAACTGATATTTGAGGAAACCTATTTATTACTAATAATAAATTATATAACTTCAACAATATCATATCTTTGGTTTAGATGGGTTTCGTGTAATATTACCTCGTTTTTCCTGCCTTATACCTCAATAAAGACCTTTCAAATTCTTATTAAACACATTAACATTGCATGTTTATACATACTATTATCACCTTATAAATTCTATTTTCCTCCAAACCAAAAGTACACACACCATCCTGAGCAATACAAGGAAAAAAAGTTATTTTTTCCCCTTCACTTGCCACAGAGCTACCATCTGAGGATTTGGGATTTATAAACTGAAATCAGAAAAGAGTCTCACTACCATCTGAGGATTTAGGATTTATAAGCTGAAATCAGAAAAGAGTCTCACAGATCTCTGATATGACTGCTGGGAGCCTCTATGCCTAAATATGGCAATAGCTTCTTCTCTGAGTCATGCCATGTCATGCTCCTAGTACAGAGTAAATCCTGGGAGTGGGACAGACACACTCCTATAGCATAGAGTTCATGTGGAAGGAGAAGGAGATTTGGTACCAGGTAGTGGGCAAGAAAATGACACAGCAAATCTGAGAATTGACCAAGACTTGAGAGATTTTGCATGGCAGAGAGTTGTCAAGTGAGACAAGAAGCCATCACAAAGGAAAAGCCAAAATAGAATCTAAGTGAAAGCAACTCTCATGGGCATTCAGGAATCTTCTGCCTGATAAGACAGGCAGAAGAGCATAGATGAGTCCTCTAGATGCTCAGGAATGCTGGGTTGACAATAACCAAAGATGGATGAGAAGACTTAATCAGAAGCCATACCTAAGGCACTGTTTGAAGTCCAAAATCGTAATTCAAACAGAATAGAAAAGTAGAACATAAACTCCAGACCTAGGGCCCAGAAGAGCCTTTCAATATCCTATACAGGTATATCAGTATAATTGTTAATCCTAGGGCTAGGGTTGTCTGTCCTTCCTTATGGGCTTAGCTATAAGCTGACAAGAAAATAGCAAGCAGAACTCTGCAGCCACTGGTGAATTATGATTGATTGCAGACACCTCATCAGGAAGATATACATTTATCTGTGTTGAGGGTTGTATTCCATGGATTTAGAGTGGAAACACTAGCTTATTGTCCACATGAAATATTTAAATAATATTCTTATTTTATCTGAAAATGTTATTTTTCAGGCTACTTAGAGTATGACCACCCAGAAATCGCTGTTACTATGAAAACAAAGGAGGAGATTAATGTCATGCTCAATTTGGCTAGAGAAATTGTTAAGGTTTTTAGGTCAAAAGGTATTATTCATAAAATTGAAGGCTCTGAAATTAATAAGGTAAGGTAGCATATTTTTAAAGCAAATATACTTACTTGATATATAGTTGTTCATGATCTTCAAACCTACTTCTGATTTTCTAATATAAGCCATCTCTGAGATAGGAATGTCTCTAACTTAAAATAATTGTCTAACTTAAAATAATTGTCTAAAGAAAAGCACCTACCATAGAGCATTTCCTTCCTGATCTCCAATGCTCAATTTCTCATTCCCTTTCTTGGCACAGTGAGAGACCATCTCTTTCTATGCTTTTCTCCCAAACCATTGGTATGATTAAACTACTTCTCATCCTAGACTACAGTGGAAATCAGTATCTAGGAAATATCTACACCACTGAAATAACTTTTCCAATAGACTCCCATAATTTATAAGAGCATTCAGTTATATGAAAAATTCACTACATTTTCTTTAAGTTATTTAAATGGTACCATGACATATAAAAAAAATAGAGGGTCACAACTAATTCTGTAAGTACAAAATTTACTCTCCAGATTGGGAATGGTATGAGAAAAAAAAACAAAAGCTATTATGCTTGTGAATATATATACAAAACTTTTAAACATAATGGTAGCTAATTAAATCTGGTGGTATATTAAAAGTTTAGTATACTATGACTAAGAATGTTTTAGCTCTCAAAATAGCTATATAACTTATTAAGAGTTTAAAAAATTGAAGAAAAAGGAAAAAAATTGACAAAATTTATTACTCAAAATATTTTTTAAAATTCTCATGAGGCTAATAAGAGAAGTAGAATCCTTCACTGAATAAAGAGTTTCTATTTAAAATTTAAAAGAAACATTGTATTAAATGGTAAAACATAAGTATTCCAACTAAAGTCAGGACCAAAAGGAAAATGAACAGTGCCTCTCCAAATATTGAATGCCTTGCTGGAAGTCTTAGCCAGGTGAAGAAAAGAAAGAAAGGAAATTGAGAGAGATAAAATTTTTGGAAAGATGAAAAAGGTTATCATATATTGATTCTTTAAAATCCTAGGAAAATAAACTAAAATATGTAGGATTAATAAGGTAAATCATAGGGTATTCAGAAATAATATTGACATTCAAAATTCTTCCTCAACTAAAGAAAAATATTCTATTCACAGTATTGATTAAAAACTCTAAATCCTTAAGTGTGAACCTAACAGAAAATATATAACATCTATGTGGCAAGAACTGAAAGGCGTATTTGAGCAGGCAGAAAGATCAGTCACCTTAAAGATAAAACAATGGAAATTATCCTATTTGTGGAACAGAAATAAAAAGATTGGTGAAAAGTGACAAAATCTAAGGGACCCGTGAGATCCAATCAAGAGGACCAACATGTGCACTGTGGAAATTCCACAAGGTGAGAGACAGAGAATATTTGAAGAAGTAATGCTGAAAACTTCCCAACTTAGATGAAATACATAAATATTAATATCCAAGGAGTTTAATAAATTCCAAGTAGGATGACCTGAAAGAGACCCACACCAAGATGCATTATAATCAAACTGTCAAAAGGCAAAAGAAAATTTTGAAATCATCAATAAAGAAGTAACTCATCCCATATAAGCAATCCTTAATAAGATTATTATCAGATTTCTTATCAGATACTTTGGAGACCAGAAGTTAACTGATATATTTGAAATGCTAAAAGAGAAAAAAATCTATCAACCAAAAATCCTATATCCAACAAAACTGTCCTGCAGAAATGAAAAAGAAATTAAGACAGTCCCAGATAAACAAAAATGAAGGGAGTTTATTACCATAGAACTGAAAGAAATGATAAAAGGAGTCATGCACATTTAGTAGACACCTCACAACAGAGGATATTCAAATAACTGATACATAACAAAAGGTACTAAATTTTATTGTCATAAACTTAACACAAATTAAAACCAAATGAAATACCAATACACAACCATCAGAATACTTAATTTTTTTTAACTGACAATATTAGCTATAGGAAATTATGTGGAACTGGAATATTAGAGTAAGAGTATAATTTAACATAATCACTTTGGAATCGTTAGGCAGAATCTACTAAATGTGAAAATACTCATATGACCTAGCAATTAGATTACAGAACCGTATATCCACAGAAATGTATACATATGTACAGCAAACAAATACAGCAGCATTACAAAAGGCCAAAGCTGGCACACTCCAAATGTTGATCAAAAGTAGACAAAACTGTGGTATATCCATATAACATAATCCTCTACAATAATGAAAATGACAGGAATAAACTTCTGCTCCCTCTAATATTAAAGATGAATCTCATCTTTACTGAGATCTGAACAAATGAAACCAGACACAAATAAGTACATACTTGTTGATTTCATGCAGATAAATCTCAAAACCAAACAAAGTTAAACTCTGATAAAAGAGGTTATCTTTAGATAAACGAAATGACTAGAAGAGAATATAAGGATTTTAGGTGTAGTAAATGTTTTATTTCTTAATCTGGGTGCAGGTTACCAAGATCTTTTCACATTGTAAGTGTTCTTTGAGTGGACATTTATAATCTGTGCACTTTTTGTTTATGTGTTATAATTCAGTTAAAAAAAGTTTACTTTAAATATTTAATCTATGACTTCAGAATGATGATAACAGAAAAATGCTGTCAGTGGGGAGAAGTTGAAGGTTTCCATAGAAGAACAAAAATCTCAGAAGAGCAAGTAAAAGAAAGAGTACCAAGTCATAATTTCGTAAGCATTCTGTGAACACCAGTTTTGTTCATCTTCTTTCTTAAATTTTGTGGTTTTAGTTAATAATGGCCAAAAAAAGAGAGCTACTTGATTTCCTACCTGTTATCAAGCCCCTTACTATTGAAGAAGCACTCTACCATATTCCATGGCTAGACAAAGACAAAGACCATATACACTTCATTCAGGTAATATTTTCATTTTCTGGTAATACCATCTATAATGTACCAACAAATGATTTTTTTATTTAAAGATTTTATTTATTTATTTGACAGACAGAGATCACAAGTAGGCAGAGAGGCAGGCAGAGAGAGAGGAGGAAGCAGGCTCTCCACGGAGCAGAGAGCCCAATGCGGAGCTCGATCCCAGGACCCTGGGATCATAACCCAAGCCAAAGGCAGAGGCTTTAACCTACTGAGCCACCCAGGCGCCCCAAATGATTTTTTTTTTAACAAATTTTTTTTAATAAAGACTGTGATAATCTCCAGCTTAAAACTCCATGCGTAAACATCGCATCTGAAGTTATAAAGATCTATGGATATCCACCTTCATCTCTTTGATATTCATAATTCCTATTTTCTCTTACAAATTTATCACTAACACAATAAGTTGGATCTTACTGACTGATATTTTAAAATGTAAGAACTTTTATTAAGATGTAAACCTCAACATCCCCAACCACTGCTAATATAGTGTTTATGTCCTATATATTTGGTGATATTTTTAAGGAAAGAGCCAGAGTTGTAACATTTGACTGTGGAAATGATATATTTGAAGAAGGTGATGAGCCCAAAGGAATTTATATAATAATATCAGGTATGATAAAGGTAAGTCAGATTTATTCAAAAATGCACTTGTGAACATTAGTTAAAAAATCGATAAAATTGAGAATTCATAGTTTTCCATGTTAAGAACTGCATTGTTCCTCTTTTAGGACAACAGCCACCATTCACTTTTCTTGTTCAAACACAATGGTTAACATTACCTATCACCTTTTATTTTATTTTATTTATTTGAGAGAGAGAGAGAAAATGAGAGAGAGGGAGCATGAGAGGGGAGAGGTCAGAGGGAGAAGCAGACTCCCTGCTGAGCAGAGAGCCCAACATGGGATTGGATCCTGGGACTCCAAGATCATGACCTGAACCGAAAGCAGTCACTTAACCAACTGAGCCACCCAAGTGCCCCTACTTATCACCTTTTAAGCGTTACTTTCCCGTAGATAACAAGAAACCATCCAAAGGATCATCTTTAAGATGCAATATTTTAAGTTGTTTTCATCTTGTGTTTATCTGAACTGGGCATTTAGCCATTTTAAGGCAGGTATAAGTTGGCTGAGTAGAAGGAATCAGAAAGATTGCAGTATCTAAGAATACTTTTGCTAATTTAATAAATTCACTTTAAAAGGCACAAGTAAGAAGCATCCTCAAAATCATATTTACATATTAAAATTGTTAAAACCAAAGGAAAAAAAATAAAAAATTAGAGAGTTTTGGTAATTAACTGGCATTTTTTTTTCCCTCTTTCTTCATTCCTTAACAGCTTCAAAGATCAAAACCTGGTTTCGGAATTGACCAAATGTTCTGGGAGTCAGAGGAGAAAGATTATCAGCTAATGTACACAGACTTTGTGATCAGTGGGGAAATAATAGGAGAGCTAAACTGTTTAACTAATAAGCCCATGATGTATTCTGCTACCTGCAAAACCGTAGTGGAGGTCAGAAAACATCATCTTTTTGCCTATTGCTGTAACTTATTAAATATCTAGTATCAAATACCAAGGTTATTTCTGTACTTAGCATATATTTACAGTCTAGTAACATTTTTTTTAAATAGGAATAGTAAAGGAATAAAACTTGCTACCAAATTATACTTATCCAGTATACTGTCCTGGCAAAATGGCTTGCAAAATTAACCTACCATATTGAAAGTTTTAACCAGAAAAACTGATTAAATGAGGACTCTCATGGGGAAATTAGAGGACATATTTAGCTATCAATACCATAATTTGGGAGGTAAGGAAGGGAAAAAGTCAGAGAACTAACATTTATTAATAAAGAAGTTGAGCAAAGTGGATGGAAGTTTTCCCAGGCACAATGAGGACAAAATTCTCAAAGCAACAGGGGCTATCACTGGCCTAATTTAAACTCAAAAAGAAAAATGATTGCAAACAACTGAACCCCATGATATACAAAAATCCATAAGTTGATGATGATACCAAAGTTTGTTTAGTTTCCAATAAGATTGTTGGGATAAGAACTTACTATCCTAAAAATGGATTTTTTTTTTTAAATCGAAGGCATTCAACATTTATCCTGCCTTTCCTCTATGAATTCTTTCAAGGTAACCAAAAGAATAAGAAGAAGAAGAAGAAGAAGGAGGAGGAGGAGGAGGAGGAGGAGGAGGAGGAAGAGGAGGAGAAGGAGGAGGAGGAGAAGGAGGAGGAGGAGGAGGAGAAGGAGAAGGAGGAGGAGAAGAAGGAGAAGGAGAAGAAGGAGAAGAAGAAGAAGAAGAAGAAGAAGAAGAAGAAGAAGAAGAAGAAGGAGAAATTTTCTTCTGTACAGAATTCCAGCTAACAAATGTAGAAACAGAGAATTAGAGTATCTTCATTTTGCCATCTCAGTGAAGTAATGGATCTAGGCAACAGCCATCAACTGATGCTAGAACTACTGTGTGGAATATTAATGGGAAACTTTATAATGAAAGGACCAGGCTAGGCTGGCATCACCTAAAAAACAATCATAGCGTTACTACAAGTGGGACAGCTGGGCCTCGTCCACCTCTGGAGATGATGCTGCAAAGCTGGCTCTTTGAAAAAAATCAACAAAATTGATAAACCTTCAGCCAAATTCATAAAAATAGGAAAGAGAGAGAGATGATTCAAATCAACAAAATCAAAAATGAAAGAGGAGAAATAACTGACATCAGAGAAATACAAAGGATTGTAAGAGAATATTATGAAAAACTATATGCCAACAATTTGGACAACCTAGAAGAAATGAATAAATTCCTAGAAACATGTAACTTCCCAAAACTGAATCAAGAAGAAGTAGAAAATTTGAACAGATCAATTACCAGCAATGAAATTGAACAAGAAATCAAAAAACTCCAACAAACAGAAGTCCAGGACCAGATGGCCTCACTGGTGAATTCAACCAGACATTTAAAGAAGAGTTAGTACTTATTCTTCTCAAAATATTCCAAAATCAAAGAGGAAGGAAAGCTTCCAAATTCATTCTATGAGGTCAGCATTACCCTGATACCAAAACCAGATAAAGACACTACAAAAGAGACAACTATAGGCCAATATCTCTGATGAACATCAAGTTACCTACTCATAGATGCAAAAATCCTCAACAATATATTAGCAAACTGAATCCAACAATACATTAAAAAAAAAAACCGTTTACCACTATTGAATGACTTTTATTCCCAAGATGCAAGGGTAGTTCAATATTTACAAATGAATCAACATGACACATCACATCAATAAGAGAAAGAATAAGAACCATATGAGCATTTCAGTTGATGCAGAAAAAGCATTTGACAAAGTACAAGACCCATTCATAATAAGAGACCTCAACAAAGTAGGTGTAGAGGGCACATGTCTCAACAAAATAAAGGCCGTATATTAAAAACCCACAGCTAACATCAGACTCAAAGGTGAAAAGCTGAGAGCTTTCCCCCTAAGGTCAGGAACAAAACAAGGATGTCCACTCTTACTGCTTTTATTCAACATATATTGCAAGCCCTACCCACAGCAATCAGACAAGAAAAAGAAATAAAACTCATCTAAATTGGTAAGGAAGAAGTAAAACTTTCACTCTTTGACATGATACTATATATAAAAAACCCTAAAGGCCGTCAAAAAGAAAAATTCTAGAACTGATAAATGAATTTAGTAAGGTTGCAGGATACGAGACCAATGTATAGAAACCCATTGCATCTCTATACACTAATAATGAAACAGCAGAAGGAAATTAAGAAAGTAATCCCATTTCCAGCTGCACCACAAATAATAAAATACCTAGGAATAAATTTAACCAAGGAGGTGAAAGATCTGTACTCTGAAAACTATAAAACCTTGATGAAAGAAATTAAGATGTCTCATGCTCATAGGTTGGAAAAACAAATATTGTTAAAAGTGTCTGTATTATCCAAAGTAGTCTACAGATTTAATGTAATCCCTATCAAAATACTAACAGCATTTTTCACAGAACTAGACCAAACAATCTTAAAATATGTATGGAACCATAAAAGAAAGTGAAAGCAATCTTGAAAAACAAAGCTGTGGGTATCGTAATTAAAGATTTCACATTATATTACAAAGCTATACTAATCAAAACAGTATGGGACAAAAATAGAAACATAAATCAATGGAACAGAATAGAAAATCCAGAAATAAACCCACAATAATGTGGCCAATTAATCTTTGACAAAGTAGGCAAGAATATACAATGGGAAAAAGTCTTTTCAACAAATGATGTTGGGAAAACAGGGTGGTTAAATGCAAAGAAGTGAAAGTGGATTACTTTTTTACACCACACACAAAAATAAATTCAAAATGGATTAAGGACCTAAATGGGAGACCTGAAGCTATAAAAATCTTAGAATAGGGGTGCCTGGCTGGCTGTCTTAGTCAGTAGCATGTGACTCTTGGGACCATAATTTAAGCCCCACATTGTGCATAGAGTTTGCCTAAAAAAATAAATGAATAAAAAATGAAAATCCTGGAATGGAGAACAGGTGATCATTTCTCTGAAACTGGCCATAACAACTTCTTTCTAATTATGTCTCCTGAGGCAAAGAAAACAAAAACAAATATAAACTATTGGAACGACATCAAAATAAAAAGCTTCTGCACAACAAAGGAAACAACCAAAAGAACTAAAAGATAACCTACTGAATGGGAGAAGATATTAGCAAATGGTATATTTGATAAAAGGTTAGTATCCAAAATATATATAAGAACTTATACAACTCAACACCAAAAAATAATAATAACAATAATAATCCAGTTTAAAAATGGGCAGAAGACATTAGGGAAATACAAATCAAAACCACAATGAGATATCACCTCACACCAGTCAGAATGGCTAAAATTAACAAGTCAGGAAACAACAGATGCTGGCGAGGATGCAGAGAAATGGGAACCCTCCTACACTGTTGGTGGGAATCTAAGCTAGTGCAACCACTTTGGAAAACAGCATGGAGGTTCCTCAAAAAGTTGAAAATAGAGCTACCCTATGACCCAGCAATTGCACTACTGGGTATTTACCCTAAAGATACAAATGTAGTGATCCGAAGAGGCACGTGCGCCCGAATGTTTATAGCAGTAATGTCCACAATAGCCAAACTATGGAAAGAGCCTAGATGTCCATCAACATATGAATGGATACAGAAGATGTGGTATATATATACAATGGAATATGATGCAGCCATTAAAAGAAACGAAATCTTGCCATTTGCAATGACGTGGATGGAATTTGAAGGTATTATGCTAAGCAAAATAAGTCAATCAGAGAAAGACAATTATGTGATCTCTCTGATATGAGGAGTTTGAGAGGCAGAATAGAGGGGTCGTGGGGGGAAGGGAGGGAAAAAAAATGAAACAATATGGGACTGGGGAAGGAGACAAACCATAAGAGACTCTTTTTTTTTGTTTGTTTTGTTTTTGTTTTTGTTTTTTATTAAATTTTATTTTTTATAAACATATATTTTTATCCCCAGGGGTACAGGTCTGTGAATCGCCAGATTTACACACTTCACAGCACTCACCATAGCACATACCCTCCCCAATGTCCATAACCCCACCCCCCCTCTCCAAACCCCCCTCCCCCCATCAACCCTCAGTTTGTTTTGTGAGATTAAGAGTCACTTATGAGAGACTCTTAATCTCACCAAAAAACTGAGGGTTGCTGGGGAGTGGGAGTGGGGAGGGATAGAGTGGCTGGGTTACAGACATTGGGGAGGGTACGTGCTATGGTGAGTGCTGTGAATTGTGTAAACCTGGCGATTCACAGACCTGTACCCCTGGGGATAAAATACATTATATGTTTATTTAAAAAAATTAATTAATTAATTTTTAAAAAATGGGCAGAGGACATAAACAGACATTTCTCCAAAGAAGACTTACAAATGGCCAGCAGACACATGAAAAGATGCTCATCATCACTTATCATCAGAGAAACACAAATCAAAACCACAATAAGATGTCACCTCACACCCATCAGAATGGCTAAAATAAAAAGCTCAGTAAACAATTGTTGGCAAGGATGTGAAGGAAAAGGGACCCTCATGCACTATTAATAGGAATGTAAACTTGTGCGTCACTACAGAAGACAGAATGGAAGTTCTTTAAAAAATTAATAGAACTCCCCTAAGATCCAGTGATCACACTAATGGGTATTTACTCAAAGAATTTGAAGGGATATATGCACCTCTATGTTTATGGCATCATTATTTAAAATAGCCAAATTACCGAAGGAGCCTAAATGTCCATCAATAGATGGATGGATAAAGAAAATATTGTGCGTGTATATATATAATGGAATCTTATCTGGCCATAAAAAAGAATGAAATCTTGCCATTTGCAACAACATGGATGGAACTAAAGAGTATAATGCTAAGCAAAATAAGTCACAGAAAGACAAATACCATATGATTTTACTTATGTGTGGAATTTAAGAAGCAAAACAGGGACACCTGGGTGGCTCAGTGGGCTAAGCTGCTGCCTTCGGCTCAGGTCATGATCCCAGGGTCCTGGGATCGAGTCCCACATCGGGCTCCTTGCTCGGCAGGGACCCTGCTTCTCTCTCCGCCTCTGCCTGCCTCTCTGCCTGCTTGTGAGCTCTCTCTCTCTCTCTGACAAATAAATAAATAGATAAATAAATAAAATCTTTAAAAAAAAAAAAGAAAACAAATGAACAAAGGAAAAAAGAGACAAACCGAAAACAAACTCTTAACTATAGAGAATAAACAGATGGTTACCAGAGGGAAGGGGGGGTGGTCAGGGGATAGGTGAAATAGGTGAAGAGAATTAAGAGTACACTTATCTTGATGAGCACTGGAGTAATATATGGAATTATTGAATCACTATATCGTACACCTGAAATTAATGTAACACTATGAGTCAACTACACTGGAATTAAAATTTTAAAAAGAATAATGTTAGATGACCTTTACTGTCTGACTTGAAGTCTTATTATAAATCTATTATAACCAACACCAAATGGTATTAGCTTAAGATAATATAGATCAGTAGAACAGGGAAGAGAATCCAGAAATAGATTCATATTTACACAATCAATTGATCTTTAACGATAATGGTATTCTCAACAAGTGATCCTGAAAATCCCAAATATCTGAGTGGAAGCTCTGAGCCTCAGCCCCATATATTATGCACAAAAATTGACTTGGAATGATGATAGACCTAAACATAAAAATTAGAGCTATAAACACAGATCTTGAGATAGGCAAAGATTTCTAAGCCAGGTCAGAAGAAGCACTAACCGTAAAAGGAAATATTGATAAATTGAATGTAACTAGAATTAAAATCTTCTGCTTTTTGAAAAGACACTGCAAAGAACATGGATAAAGCAAGCCACAGAGCATGGGGTGGGAGCTTTTCACAATACCTTTATCTGAAAAATTACTTGACAATGGAATCTACAAAGAATTCTTAGAGCTCAAATATATTATTATTATTATTACAGTTTCTGAAAAAGTAGAAAACAACATATCAAAAATCATGGAAACTTTTAAACTAAAGACATAATGTTTCATTGGAGCATGTAACCTTTTACTATTTAATTTATGAAAAGATACACAAATATTTACTACTACACACATTTTATTAGGTGTCCAGGGAACAACATGAATCTTACATAATTTAAATTCTTAGCTTTAATGTTATATGTAAATAAGAAAACCTTATATCCTTAAACTATAGGTGTACAGAATGAAATATTACATTTATATCCTCCATTTTTCAGTTGTGTTTTATTCCTATACAACACTTGTATGAAGCTTTTGAACAATGTTGTCCTCACATCGAGTATAAAATGTGGCTAAAACTTGGACTTTCAATTGCTGCAAAAAAAATGAGGGAACATTTATCTTATGAGGTAAGAGGTGTTTATATATAAACTCATCCTTCTGTCTGAATAGAATTGTATTAAAATGCTGTTATCAATTAACTCTTTAGGAATTGGTATTAAACATAAACAGTAGACTACGAAATCGTGTTTTCCTTGTAGGACTGGAACTACAAGATGCAGTTAAAACTCCGTAATGTTTCTGTAAAAGATATACCAAAGAACACCAAAACTGGTATCTATGATGAAACTGTGACTTATGTCATCCTCATCCATGGAGCTGTAGAAGATTGTCAATTACGAAAAGCTTATAAGGCACCTTCCTTAATTCCTATAACATGCTGTCAGGTATAGAAATGTTGATTCCTGCCTTCCAGTCAATATGACGTATGTCCAGACAATGTATGAACATTAGAAAAATTGTCACTTTTCCACCTTCCCATCCTCTGTGTTTCCTCTATCACTCCATAAACACACACACCACACACACCCAGTTCACTGATTGCTTTGGCCCTTGGTAGCCCAAACACCAAGGTATCCTGTTCAGTGTCAATGAAGCAGACTGAGCTGTACATTTTGGCCATGGTTAGATTTTGGTGCTATAGTACGTAACAAGAGAGGGCCTGTTAAGTTCATTTACACATTGCAGAAAGACCACTTTCTCTGGACTGTGTCAACAGTACTCTAGGAAAGTTCTGCAGACCCATGCTGAACTGAGTATCAGTGGTATTTGCTCAGCTACTTTGAAAGTGAATGTAAGATGAAGGACTTGCCATGTTTAAGGGGCTGAGTTTTCCTGGCAATCAGAATGAGAAGTTGTGCATATGCAGAAAGAAAGAAGGCAGACTGTGTTGTGTGTGTGTGTGTGTGTGTGTGTGTGTGTGTGTGTGTGTAGGGATAGAGAAAGAAAGGCACTTGTCAGGAGGAATCAGGAGACATACAAAATGTATCTAGAGAAAATAAATTGAAAGACCTCAAGTCAATTAAATTAGGCATATATTTTTAAAGCAATGAATATATGGCAGAAACTGTGCTAGATGCTAAAGTGATCAAGACAAATGAAATTTGCAACTTACGCTCAGAAGAGCTCTCAACCAAGTGAAAAGAAACATATATATGTTAATGAAACATGTACAGCTATGATAGAAGTACTTTAGAGGTAGGTTTGGATCAGGAGAAAAACATGAGGTGGGGATAAGAGGAATCCAAAGATGAGAAAGAGATAAGAGAAATTTTCTGAACAGATGCCACCAGTTCCAATGTGATAGACCCACTGAGAGGAAGGGAGACATTACTATTAACTATGGTGTGGCCTACCACTCTATTCCTGAATACATAATAGCAAAGTTCCCCTGTGGGTGCTGACCCGGAATGTAGATGACCAAGCAAGATATCCTCAAGGCAACCTAAAACCTACGAAACTCTAGTCTACCCTCCTAGGCAGAAAGCCCTGCTACTCTAGATGTGGGTACCAATGTGATTCAAAACATATCAAAAATAACCACAGGTTGAAGGATTTCTTGAAGTCTACTGTTTTTTAAACTTTCTTTTGCCACATAGATAATCTCTCTAGGTGATATTTTAAAGCATCTTTAATAATTAACTCATAATGATTTTTCTCATTTGTAAAACAAATGAGCAGAGCATTTAAAAATCAATGAAAGTACACGGGATGTTGACTTTGAAAAAACCAACATAGTCCGGTATTTTAAGATATCTCATAGAGACATGTTTACTTCTTATCCCGGATACTTAGAGAGGTCCTGAGAGAGTTTACCAGAGAAACATTTAATTGTATGATATGTACTCAGAAATTAACTTATAGTCTGTCAAACTTCAGGTACAAGGCACTGAAGATTTTACAAAGGTAATGATTGTTCAAACTTTGGTTGATTTGAAAAAATTCAGATGGAACACCAGAAAGTATGTACCTTCACATAAAGCGTCTCTTCCAGTATCATGTGAGTTAGATTTCTCTGAGTAATTGAGACCTTAATTTCCATTTATAAAATTGTATATATTTATAAAATAGCCATATATGTATTTGGAAACTATTGAATACATTCTACCCAGAGTATTGGAAAATTAATTAATTTTTCCAATTAATTAATTGGAAAATTAATTGCCATATTTGATATCTGATGGGGGAATCCAGATTGACAATATCCATGTTATAGTAGGAATTATTCTATACTTCATCTATAAGAATAAACATACATAATTATCAAAATACTATGGAAAAATTGTTAATGAGGGAATTTTTATTTTTTAAGATTTTATTTATTTTAGAGAGAGCACAGTGGGTGGGGTGGGGAGAGGAGCAGGAGAGGTGGGAGAGAGAGAATCTCAGACTCCCTACTGAGGGCAGAGCCCACCTCAAGGCTCAATCTTACCACCCTGAGACCATGACCTGAGCTGAAACAAAGATTCAGACTTTCAATTGACTGAGCCACCCAGGCCCCCAATGAGACAATTTTTAGCTCTTCCCTCAAATTAACATATTTTATATAGCAGTAATAATGGAAATACTATGGTACTGTCTGACTCTTCCAATTACCCACAGCCTGGCATTCATTCTCAACACAACTTAACATTAATGTATTTGGGGATGAAGGGACAATAGATCATTTTTTTTATCTCTTTACAAACTTCCTGCACATTTGTTACATAATCTTTACAATAAAAGACTTTTAAGCCTTTTTTTAAAATATGACCCTTCTTTCCACCAATTGAGAACCACCAATTTCAGATCATAGGCCCTGAGTGTGAATGACTTGAACCTGGTCTAATGTGACAGTTGAACTAATAGAAACAGTGCTTTGTTCCAGTGCTTGAACTAATACAGTCTTTCTTGAACTAGCAAGCAAACTCTATAAAGAAGACCTTCAATTTGATACAAATATTGAGGTAAATTTAAAACAGTCTTTTTAAAAGTTTTATTTTGGGGAAAAGAGAGTCTGGAATGTATGAAAATTATCAGTGTGTTTCTCTTAATCTGAAGGAATTTACCTGCTAATCATTTTGTAAATATCGATATGAACACTGTCTGTCTTAGTCCAGGGTAAGTAGAAATTGTATTTATATTTTTGGGTAAATATCAGATAAATGACAAAGAAAAACAAAGGTCAGAAGATACCAGAATATTTATTTTGAATCACACGAGCCACCACGCACTATTGAGTACCTAGTTGAGTAGCTAGTCACTAGGGTTGTCATGTACATGAGCCCTCCCACTTCTCTGCCTTGGGATGAAATTTTGACTGGTCTGAAGCCTTCATTGCTACCTCAACTATGCATCTGAGATCTTCCAAATGGAGGCAGTTTGCTCAACTATTCACAAAGCCTGTCACAAAGCAGGAGCTCAGTGATGACCATACTAATCTAATCTGCCCCAGGCTAACCCAGAAAAACCCATAAATATTGGTTCATTTCATAGTCCCCTATGAACTTGGACAGGTCACTTAGGGATCTTGGGATCCTCAAAACCCTGGGCCAACTTGGCAACAAGATCCCAAGTTCTGAAACATTACAGAGCCCTGGAATTGAAAGTGGGGCACAGAGAAATAGGATGGAAATACCTCACTACCTCTACACCAGCTTGCTTGTAGACTGAATCCTGGGGAGATCCAGACGAGGTAGAGAATTTATTTGTAATTCTAGTTTGTGCCAAGCTGGTCATATTACTCCAGGGAATGTTGATTATAATACCCAGAATCTGAGAGATATCTTATACAAATACACAATCTAGAAAATTGTGTATTTGGTTGTTAAAAATATGTTTCACATCAAGTCCATTTGCTCTATTAGCACTAGGCATAAAATTCTAAGAACACATGTTCCTTCTCCCCTGAATCTCTCAACAAGAGTATGTTGCAGGGAAGATGGTTACAGGTTCTGGGGAGAAAGTTGAAGGCCAATTCTCTCATGTCTGTCTGGTCTTCAAGAGGCCAACACTTTTCTTTAATATCCAATTCCCATCCAGCATAAAAGCAAGAGGTTCACCTCCTCCCTAAACATTTTGGAGTCTTTCTGGGGAAGCTGTTCCTCAAACTTCCCTGATTATAACTTGTTGCCTGGAACTACTGACCCAATAACATACAGGCTGAGAGTATTTGCTCTGACATGAGACTCCTGGTTTCCTTACTGTTTCCATCACTTCTTAGCCATGCGATCTTGGACAGATTTCTTAACCTCTTTAAGCATCCACAAAACAGAGACAATAACCATACTTACCTTGTATAGTGCTGCCGTGCAGATTAAAGAAATGGAAAGTAGACTGCAAAGTGTTTGACACATAACAAGCAATCCATACACATAATTTCCATTATTTTCTGCTAACCCCTTCCTCACATTGTAAACTACTTCTCCAGACTTCTTGTGCTCTCCAGATAACTTATTTTCTAAAAAATACAGGTACCTCCTCTAATTCTCCCAAACACAGTTGCTGTTGAAGACTAGGAAGTAACAAAAGTAAATTACAATTTAAAAAATGAAGAAGATGAGGAGAACATTTAAGATAAAATATTAGATGGTTCCTAGGGGCCACTGGGTAGCCTATCTTTCTCCTTAGCCTGGGCAGGCTGCCAAGCTTATGAGAGTCAGCTTAATAGTGTATTTTAAATAATGAGGGAGCAGGGAAACCAATGCTCTCCTGTACATATTCCCCGAAGTGCTGCTTTTTCAAAATTAAAGAAAACCTGATGGCATGAGGTTGTTAAGATAGAGAAACTAGTGTGGAAGTAAAGGTCCATTAAATGGTAGAAACGTCAACTACTGAGCCTATATAATATATAATAACTGTCAAATTGTGTTATTTAGTAAATGCTTTTTCTTCTTGATTAGATCCTGGCTCTGTTTCCGGGCCAGCTCCCTTCATGCTCCCCCAAACCCTCCTCCCACCAATACCCCAGAACTGTAACTTTACCTTCACATAGCAAAAAGGCCTGTTGCCACATCCATCAGCTCTTTACAAAGTGTTTTGATCCCCAGGATGGGAATAAAAACAGTGCTGCTGTTGTAGAAGTCCTCATTCTCAGTCCCTTGCTCCATAGACCAGATTTGACACCAGCCCTGCTTTATAACTCTAACCCATTATAATAGTCTTAGAATTTGACTCCTATCTGCTATCTCAACTTCTAGATTCAACAGCCTTCAGGATTCCTTGATAATATTAAGGAGGAAATGGATATCTATCCGGTCACCTAGAATGAGACTCAGTGAAAATCTGGTAAGCTGCCTCAGTTTCCTCAACATGATCTGGATCACACCTGTTCCTGGAGATACAGGCTGAAGCCAAAAGTTCAGGTCCCCTTTGGTGTGACAGTGTGAATTATACCCCTTTCCACTAGCCATTATTTGCTATATAATCACTTCCACTAACCCGTTGATTCTTCTAATGACACTATCTCTGAATTCTAAATTGGAAAATTAACTCTAAAATAAGATTCCTTTATCGAGATTTCTGAAATAGACTCCTGGCTTCCTCTCTTTATTCTGCTACTTAATCCCACGTGCAGCATGCTCATTTTTTAGGCTGCCCTGCACCGTGGAAGATATAAACAAGTAACAAAGATATAAACAGGTGATAAGTGATGACTTCAATTTTCAAAAGCTTCTGTTCTAGTTAAGGAGGCAAAACAGATCAGAAGGCAGTCCAATAGCCATTTGAGATATACTGTGGATCATGCCAACTGAAACTAAAGGAATTCAAAACAGAAACAACTGCTGGTGAACATAAAGTCTTTGTGGAGAAGGGAAGAGGATGTTTGGAGTAGGGGACACAAGAGACCAAGACTTTTGGGAAACAATGAGTTCACCAGTCTACCTTTGGTTGCTCAAAATGCAGCGTCAATGAAGAAGTGCGTGTGGGAGGGGAGGTGCACACTTTATATGACTGTGTTACATAAAGCATATCGCTGGGTTTAAAAATGACCTTCTAATAAATCTTTGTGTCTCCATTTAAAAAATGTTAACTCTTGCATGCTACTTTCTATGACAAAGACCAAATTTAAAAATAGAACCAAAAGGTAACAATACACTATGAAAAAGTATTTTTAGGAATTACTTGTAATACGATCAGTATCTTCATGTGGGGATAAAGATGTATACAAAATGATAAGGAAAACACTATGACTCCCATAGGCAAATTTAAAAACAGCCAGTTCAGGAGAAAGACAATACCCAGAATAAGGAGAAAATAAGAAGCACCAAGTTAAACAACAATGAAGTATTAACACTGATTTTTTTAAAATTAACAATATTTACCCCATGGTAAGATCTATTTCCTTTGAAATAGCTGAAAATAGCATGATACTTGTTTTCTTATATTTTGCTGGTAGTTGAGTAAAAGGAATTTGAAGTAAAAGTTATAAAAATGTTCATATACTTTGACTCCATGAATTTGCTTCTGAGAATTAACCCAAAAAGAGTAATCCAAAGTAATAAAGTAGACATATGCACAAACTGCCCAGTGCACCACCATTTCTAATGGTAAAACATTAAAAAGAGTCCAGGTATGTGCTATGGTGCTGTGAATTGTGTAAGACTGATGAATCGCAGACCTGTACCCCTGAAACAAATGATACATTTAATGTTAATAATAAAAAAGGTAGCAAAAAAAAAAAAAGAGTCCAAGTGTCCAATAGTAAGAAAGTATATAATTTCACTACAGACCATCCTTTAGAGGAAATCCACAACCATTAAAAAGATTGGTTGTATAGTCCAATGTAAAATATAAAAATGAATGCAAACACATACATACAACTTTCTTAACATGAAAAGAGGTCAGGGGCGCCTGGGTGGCTCAGTCAGTTAAGCATCTGCCTTTGGCTCAGTCCTGGGATCAGATCGAGCCCCACACCAGTCTCTCTGTTCAGCAGGGAGTCTGCTTCTCCCTCTTCCTCTGCCCCTCCCTCTGCTTGTGCTCTCTCCCTCTCTCTCAAATAAATAAATGAAATCTTTGAAAAAAAAGAGAGAGAGAGGCCAGAAAAGATAAACCCAAATGATTCAACCAGACATTAGAAAGGTATGAGTAGGGACAGGTGTGTTCACCTCTTATCATATTTTCCATGGTTTTATTGCTCTTGTAATAAAAAAAAAAAATGATTGTAAGCATTATTCAAATAGAAATACTCTGGAAGTTGTCTGTTCCTTTCTGCCCCTCTTTACACTCAGCAATCCCTGTGTGGTGAAAAGGAGAGGTAGCTACCAGAACTGAGACCTCATTGGTGCTTCCCATAGTGGAACATACTTCTCCTCTAGTCCCTAAACTACCCCTGTCCCATTCAGCAGGCCCCAGGGGCTCTCAAACTCTGACCTCCAGTTTAAATCACGCCACCACTACTTTGGGAAAAATGACTGACTCACACTTACCCACTTGATGTCCTTCCTTGTCCTCAGCAATAATGACCAGGAGGTATTTCCTGTGGGAATTAAACTGATCCTCTAGTGCATCCTGTTTGGGGTTGTAAGTCAATGTTGAAAGATTCCAAAGCTCTTTTGCATTTGTTTCTTTTTCCCCCTCCCTACTTCTGTTAGGAATGGTTGACAACACTGTTTTGAAGACTGACGCCCATATAGGATCTGCTGTCAGGGGACACCTGTTTCTGAAACACATTCCCCTGCATCCAAAGGGAACAACCTCAAGCCGGACCCCGAATGGTTGATCCTGGTGCCACAATGAAAGATGTTTGGACATTGCAACCATTCCATCTAAAATATATTTTTTGGAACATTTTCTTGATCAAAAATATCTTTTATGTTAAATATCTGAAACATCTCAGAAAATCAAAGAGTAAGTTTTCATTTTAGAGCCAGAAAATAAGCTTAGGCCACCTAGGATAGTTTGCATACTGCTCTTAGAGCAAAAATGGTTTGATTCACTTTATGAAAATGTATTAAAATGTAATTTAAATGTTGATCTTAAACCAAGTATTGATTTTTGTCCTTCATTGTACTTCATGCATCTTGGAAGCACTCAGTGAATAAAATAGTAAAGAATGGAAACTAATCTACACTTAAACAATGTAACTTAGTGTCCATTTTAGTAATTATCCCATTACAACAATAAGCCCAATGCCTGGCACATCATTTTTCTTTTTAGGGAGAGAGAGAGAGAAAGAGAGAGAGTGAGCTGGGGCAGGGGGAGAGAGAGAGAATCCCAAGCAGGCTCCACACTCAGCATGAAGCCCAACATGGTGCTTGATTTCACAATCTGAGAGGATGACCTGATCTGAAATCAAAGGTCAGCTGCTCAGCCCCACAGGTGACCCTGGCACATCATTTTTTAAAATGGTCTTAACCAGGGGCACCTGAGTGGCTCAGTCGGTTAAACATCCAACTCTTTTTTTTTTTTTTTAAGATTTTATTTATTTATTAGAGACAGAGCGCACAGAGAGAGAAAGAGAGCATGGTGGGGGGAGGAGGAGGGAGAGGCAGACTCCCCACTGAGCAGGGCAGACGCTTCACCAACTGAGCCACCCAGGTGCTCCACGCATCCAACTCTTGACTTCAGCTCAGGTCATGATCTTGTGGTCATGGGATTGAGACCCACACTGGACTTAGCACTCAGCAGGGAGCCTGCTTGAGATTTTTCTCTCTCCTCTCTCTCTCCCTCTGCCCCTCCCCCTACTCTCTCTCTGCCCCTCCCCCTACTCTCTCTCTCTCTGTCTCTTTTTTTTTCTCTCTCTCTCTCTCTCATTTATAGATAAATCTTTAAAAAAAAAACAGAACAAGTTAAGAGTTACTGCATGCTTCTTATATGCTATGTGTCTGACAAATGCTATGTACTTACAGACTTACTTAATCTTCACAACAACCGTATAAGGCAGGTACTATTATTTCCATTTTACAAATGTGTAAACTCAAAGAGTGTGAGTAATTTGCCAAATATCTCACCACTGGTAATAGGCAGAGCAGAGATTTGGAAACAAACCTGTGACTAGCTATTATACCATACATCTCTCCAGTATGGTAAGTCCTAAATAAATATCTGAATAATTAATAAAAATTTAAATATCTGTCTTCAGGTACACACTTCCATCCAGAGATTAGAAATCTGAATACTAAATCTTACCCTCTATAACTGTTGTAAGCATATTTTCAGAAGCCAGGTGTAGAGCTTCCATTCACAAAAGGTCCTTGCAGAGAAGACAATTTGGTTTGTTTATATTGGGAAAGTCAAACTGCTATCACCTCTCTCCAAAACTGAACTCAACCAGTTTTTTATTCCAATGATAATTGACTAGCAGATATTTTAGTGTTTGAGGGAACCTCATTAATGAGTACCCTTTTTCTCCTGAGGGCCGAACCAAATGAAAATTAAAATAAATGCTTGAGGCAGTTAGAGATTACACCCCACCCCCAACACACATACACTCATGCACACGCCTTTATTAGTGACTGAACTGACGTAAAGAACATGGTTGCCTTCCGACCCACAGAACTGGATGTACAGATCATCCAATGTATTGACCATTGTAGGCGTTTATCACTAAGCTTACTGCATAGCTGAGAACAACAGACAATGCAAGATTTGTAAAGTCAAATTCACTCTCTCAAGAAATCAGGAACAAAGGGCTGAACAAAGACTGTCCAGATTCTGCTTCCAAATTCATCAACCTGATAAGCCACTCCACCTCGGCAGAATGAATGAGGTGGACAAGCCATGAGCGTTGGGGTAAGGGAGAGTAAAGCCCTCAATCCCAAACAAGACACCAGGTGGGGAAAGGCCTCTCCACCAATAGCTTGTTATTGACAGTGAGTTTGGTAGGCACCGGACTCTCTTCTGAATGTTTTGCCCTCTTTAGCCCAGGCAATCATCACAGGAATTTTAGGAAGTGGGTGCTATCACTGCCTCATTTTACAGAGGAAGTAGTGAGACTTAGGGAATTCAGATAAATTACCCAAAGTCACATCTAGATGAAATGACATTGGGACTCAAATCCTCTGAGCACATTCAATATAATTTGTGAAATAAAGTCCCTAGGCTTTATTTTGGAAATCTAAAGCATCAGAGAAGAGGATAGACTCCACAAATACTGACCATGATCAGTGTCTTGCCAGGTTTGTGTTCTGGAGTATAATCATTTTCAAGTGGGGAAAGAACCCCGAACAAGGTACTGAGATAAGAAGTAATCCCAGCACCAGGCATGGTATATACCCACACACCCCCATCAGCAGGAGCTGGGTGGTTGTGTGCCCAGGAC